AAATATCTGGAGAAATCTGGTCTCTTCAGTAAAAGAAGAAAGGCATTTTGTTGTTCCAGTTACTGTGCCACTTACAAATATCTGGAGAAATCTGGTCTCTTCAGTAAAAGAAGAAAGGCATTTTGTTGTTCCAGTTACTGTGCCACTTACATTTAACAATCAATCTTAATGGCATGTCCTTACTGAGATCTATAAAAAGAATATGTCCTGTCACGTGACATATTGTCCTCTGATCTGTAGACTTCAAGCCTGTGGAACAGATACGTGTTGATGTGATCAGAAGTCTGCAAGCTGACCAGATTTTCAATGTTGTTCTTTAATCTGACTCGACAGGTCTGATCAGATTGACAAGACTTTTTTGTTCACAGAACAATGTTTGCCGTTTCAGTACTTTCCCTCTGTGTGTGACATAATCATACTTCTAAGTTTTACAGTCAATAAATTTATGTTTCTGCGCACAACTTAATTCCAGCTCGATGTTAGTCTGGGTTCATGAGCACATGCCACTAGAAACTTGTAAACAGCTATAGGCCTAGCATTCCTTGAAGGAATGCAAACTACCGGTAATCTCTGCCCTTCATGCCATAATCTTGTAAATGACGTCATCCACAATCTCATGTGATATTGTGATAGTCCTCAGAGATCATGGTGAGGATGGCGCTCGGCTACTAACACAGCAATTTTTACCACACCTGTAAAAAATCAATTAGTTGTAGTGGCCATCTTGAACTGGGGTGACTCTGAAAGTTAATCACTTGTAGATGTACATCCAATGATTAATGTACTTTCTGCAACTTTCATTAGAATTTATCCACGAGATAGAAAAAAAAAAAAACACAATTGTCCAACTTTGCCTTTCAGCTGCAGCAAACAATAAAATTACAGTCGTTAAAAACTTTTTTTTGTTGTTTATTATTCATGTTAATATTATTTTAAAAAATTGTTAACAGAAGAAACTTATCAAGTATTTGGTACAAAGTGTCAATAAATTAAACAAATACTCAGAACCTTGGGGGCAGCTACAGTCAATTAAAAATGGGTCACCCTCTTAATAGAAGCCAAGAAATGACACAAGCTTAAATTGGGACTCGGTGCAAAATCTAGCTCATATTGTTCACTGAACTGTGAAATTAAAAATTGGGAAGTGTGACAAGACTGTGAAGAGAAAAGTGCCTGCATGGTTTCACCCAGGTGTGCAAAATCATAAAGAAAAAATGTCCTTCCTGCAAAATTCGTTTAACAAGTGATTGAATCTGTAACAACAAGAGCGGTGTGCAAAAACTTTAAACATTCAGATAACAGTGTAGTGTAAACATCTACAGAAATGACTTTTAAACATTTATATCTGCCAAATTTGACTGAATTGAGCAAAGTTTTAGTGTCATTTTAAGCTAAAGACAAATAAAGCATTATTTATTTACATGTTAAAACTGAAAGTGATGCATCAACTATTTGTTTGTAAAGAAAAGTAAAGATTTGCTGGTCAACGAGAACTTGAATAAACCTAAAACCTAAGTATCTGACACCCATAAAAGCCACTCCACTAGTATTTATAGCCGCCCCCTGAAGGGCAGTGTACTCCACCACAAAACAAAAACTTCCTGGGAGTAGTTCAAGTTACAAAACAGGGCAACCAAAGCTGTTAATTCAGTTTCCCAATTCTTTGGATATTTGTATTTTAAACATGTGGTATATGTATAATAAGCCTGTACACAAGTAGTACTTTAAAATATGTATTTTTCTTTCTAATCACATTATGAATGAAGTCACACAACTGAGTTTCTGTTAAAGCACAAAGATCCAAATCAAAGTTGCGCAAAATAAGGGTCAGACTTGTGCAAAACAAGTTTTGAATCAAGCTTGTCAAGAAGTTTCAGTGTATTTGCAGTTATACCTGTTCTATCCGCTGAGCCGTCTCCCTCTGCAGCTGCTGGAGAGCAGATTTAGCCGTCTGCTCCTGGTGGATGAGTTTATCCCGCGACTCCTTCAGCTCTTTCAGCAGCTCCTCCACCCTGCCTTCCATCTGCAAAAAACAGGAAATACACCAGGTAAGCATCTTGATGAGAAATACATGCGTCAGGGCCACACAAACTGCTGAAGGCAACTTTTAATGAAACCGCTGCCGAAGCAGGTGTTAGTTTGTCTAATTTATCAAAATTAAATCTACAGAAAAATGAAACAATCATTAATTGTTTAGAAAAAATGAGAGCGTTCACTTTTTAAATTTAATTATCAATCAAGGTATTTCACAGGAAAAAAAATACTCAAACATTATTTCCTAAAGCCTATTAACCCAAGAGTGATCTAAGCAAACATTCAAATGTATGCTATGAACCTACCCCCTTCATTCTTGTGTTTGCACAATGTTGCCACAAATCAAGCATGAAGCAGTTTTTGTTCCATCCATGGCAACACCCATTTTAAAACAGCCCTCATGAATGGAAAAACACTTGCGTTTTTGAGAGCTTTGCAAATCTAATCAAAGGGACACAAAAAGATAAAACCACAAAGAAACAGAGTCGTGCTTGTGTTGCCTGTTAAATGCAAGTAATTAGGATTCAGTATGATTTTAATCTCCTGCTTCACAGGCCGATTTATTGGACGTCCTTAATTACCTTAATTAATTAATTAGCTGCTTAATAACATTGGTTCCTTGGTTTCTCTCAACTTGGACAAAAGCCAATGAATGATAAACTCTTCAATATTTACTACTGTGATTGCCGATTCAGCACTACTGTTTTCCAGGTTTTTATTTTCCTGAATGATTTTTGCAATCCAACTACTTCTGCATACATTGTACCACGTCACCCATTCAAAGATCAAAACATTCAGCTCGTTCAGGAAATGGGTGCTATGCACTTTGTTTTTAGTAACTTTTATCCTTTTCAAAATAATACGTTTTATTTACAATTTAAGCTTTTAGTTAACACTTTTAGTTACCATAATTTCAGCAATCATTAAGCACTCAGCTGTCAAACTGTATTTTCACCAAGAAAAAAAAAATCTTGTTCCTTTAATTTACAGGATATCTGTCCTGTAGTGAGAAATAACTTGCAAGTTTTCAGAAATGAGAAAAATAATATTAATTTATGTGGTTTAAATTAGTAAGTATAAAACATAAAAGGTCTCACTACTAAAAAAGAAAAAGAAAAATCAAGAGCTTCCAGCTACAGATGAGTCACATAATAACTTGAAAACTAGACAAGTGAGAACCGGCTCCATATTACATTAATAGTGCTTCAAGAGGCATGTGCAACAAACAAAGCATATTATTTTTGAATATGCCTGTTTTGATCAAGGTTTGTCTACACCACTTCAGTTTGATTTCTTAATAGTCAAGGTCATAGAAATCAAACATGAAAAAAAAACAAAAAAAACCACAGAAAATAAAAAAGTGACCTTTTTAATGATGGTTATATGCTGCTTTTCTGTTTCTGCCCTCTTCTTCAGCTCATCCCTCATGTTGTCTTTCTCTGAGCAGATACCCAGAATCAGTTCCTGATGTCTCTTATTCTCCTCCAGCAGCCTAAGCAAGCAGGACACACGCACACAAACACACACTTGAAATTCAGGTCAAATCATTAGAAAGTCCTGAAGAATATAGATTATTAGCTCAAGTGTCATTACTAAAAATAAATCTAAGTACATCAGATCAACACAAGAAGAATTTATAGAAAGTTTAAGGAGACAGAAACAATAAGAGCTGCCAGATTGTTTTTTTTAACAGGTAGTTGAGTAAATCATATTTAATAACATCAACCAATATCCTACTTACTTTTGAATAGCTTTCTCCTGTTGTGCATACTTGTATTGCACACACTTCTCAAAGACCATCATGCAGTCCTCCTGGCCTGAAGTGAGACCATTAACAGGTGGACTTCCCTTCCTTTCTCCTCTGCTTTCCCCTTCAGGCAGCTGACAAGCCAACAGCTCAGACTCAAGCTCATCCAGCAAGGACTCTTGTGACAGTGAGCGCTGGATTTGTGAAATAAGCTTCCGGCTGCAGTCTGTGTCATAAGGGTTTGATGAAGAATGCGAGGGGCCCGAGTTGTTGGCGCTGGTCTGAGGGCTGGAACTGAGCGACGAACTGAGTGTGTCAGAGCTTGGGGTGGAGGGGCCATTCGAGATCCCAGAGGTCGTAGCAGAGTCTGTAGGTGAGAATTTATAAGTGCCTTGAACAGAAGAGGATGACAGACTCTCAGCTGAGTCACTGTTGTCAACAGGAGATGACTCTGCAGAACCGGTGACCAAGACTAATGGTTGCTCATTGTCATGTTGAATTGGTGCATCAAACGTCAATAAGGTCTCTTCTGCCCCTTCAAGAACAGAAGAGGAGGTTTCTGCTACGTTCTGAGTGTTGGCAGTTCTCAAAATGGCAGCAGACTCATTTGAAAGATTAAGTGGAGGTGGATCCCTTTCAATTAAAACTGTACTGGCATCACTTCTCCCCTCAGCAACTTTCTCCTTCTCATCTGGGTGCTCCCGACTGCATGATGGAGCTTCATGCTCTGGATATGTGTCCAGCTCAACATCTGTTGTAATCTTGGATAATTTACTTTCAAGTAATGTTGCCTGACAGCATGTTTCTGCTTCCTGTGCACAGTTCTGAGAGATTTCCTCCTCTTTTACATCAAACAGATTATTGTGAGGCTGATCCACAGACTGTGATTCCTCAGATTTAACTTCTGATCCTTCCATCATCTGTGGATCTGTAGTTGGACTGGGTTGTTTCATGGTCTGTCACAGCTTCAAAACTGCAACAAAAGAAAACAAGACTGAAAAGGAGCAGTGCGATACAATGCGATGCGTTTTTCAAAATAATGTAACACTACTTCTTCTCTAAAAAGCTAAAGTATCTTAAAGTCACCAGCAGAGCAGCTGTTCCTGGCCATTATTCAAAACTTTAGCCTTGGAAAGCTAAGAAAAACATTGACAATGCTCTTTACATTTCCTTATCATCAAAAGATTACTTAAAGATCGTCCACACACAAATATGAGCTGTGGTAGACACCAAGAGGTGTGTTTCTCTCCACGCCCAAGATGAGATTATTTGGAAGGCATGTGGTTGAAAGCGTCATACAGTGAAGATGGGTGTTTATGATATTAAGTTGTCTTAAAAGATCGGTTGTCAAATCAATTGAGTAGTTTAGATACACTGTTAGGGCATTTAGCAGCTAATTTGTTGCACCACCTACAAAGTTGTTTTTCCTGTTTGATTTTAATTGAAATAAACTATCTTATGAATATATACAATAATTTATATCAATCAGACAAGTAAGAACTGCAAAAGGTCAACATTATCAAGGAAAGAAAAAAAAATTTTAATAAACAAATCCAACATGACACAATAATTAAATGACACCTAAATGACAAATAATAAAAAGGCACAGACTTGATATCAAAGAGTGCATTACAGATAATGTGTATCAAAGAAAAATGATGAGCAACTAGGTCTGTGCTAAATTCTTGATAAATCCAAGTAGGTTTCATTATATCAGTCTGAGAAAACAAATGTTAGGCTCAAACTATTTCAATCCAGCACTGAACTGAGAAGGACTTTGTCAGCACTTGCTGTGTTACTGATTATTATTGATTAATGGATGACAGAGTAACTGGCAGTCTGGTAAAAATTTTATACAACTCTATACTCTGAATTATTGTGTTGAAAGTAGTATAAACTTACTGTATATATTTACCCCAAGACCGGGTATATTCATTTAAAATACCTATAGGTATATGAATAGGAATGACACTTTTTGGAAACCATTTAATGAAAATGTTGGCTTTTTTACAATAAGGGAAATTTTACAATAAACCTTGAACTTTACTTTTCCTCCCAAATTGTGTAAATTCAACAAATTTCGGATTATTAAGCTAAACAATGAAGGCTTTAGCTGCAAATGCCTAAACATGCTATTTAACAGGTGTCATGCCACAGCACTGAAGCTAACGTGTGTAACCTCAACTATTTAGATATTTCATTAAAAAGTAAATGGAAACGAGATGAGTTGTGGCAAGCAGCGCGTCGGTATGTCATAAATATTTACAATATATCTTTACACCGTTTCACTTGACGTTAGCACTACCTGTGCTGCCTTTAGCTAGCTAGCTCTTCATTAGCGCTCACAGATGTAAGATTTAGAGTTAAATGCAGCCCAAACTAATTACGAAATACAACGAGCTCAATTAGGTGATTTAAAATGATTCATGTCCAACTGTAGGTTGGTAAATTATTGTTTTATTTAGTCAGCTAAGCTACATTGATAAGCCGCCGTTAACACGTAAAACAGTCCGACCAGCTAGCGTGGCTAACGCTAGCAGCTAAATTTAAACGTAGAATCGCGCTTAATCAAATAAGTTACATATTTACCCACCGAATGCCAAAAACTCATCGTGCATTTTCGTGCGGAAACGCCTGGATTAGGCATGAACTTGGAGATGTCCCACCAGCTGATAGACATACAACTCACTGATATGACACATCAACAAATATGGCCACTGACGAGCTGAAGAACGACGCCGTACAAACCAATGAGAGCCCAGAACGATACGTGACGTCATTCCGTAGTCAGGACGCGACAGGTAAAACCCAAGTAGGTATTTTGGGACAAGCAAAAAGGAGACGCAAACATAAATACATTTTTCATAAAATAAGCCAGGTACTATATTTAATTTAATTAAACAAGGCATCGTTTAATAGTTCTTACATTTTCTTAATAAAAAAAAAGCCTAGGTGACTTTTATTAATATTAAAACAATTATAAAACATAATGGGTGCAAGTATGTCTTTCAGTCTGCAAAGAACCCCCTCTCAACAACAGATTACTGTGCTAATAGGCCATAACAGTTATACTTCCCAATAATCCAGAGAAGAAGAAAAAAATACGCGGTACACATTTTTGCTGAAAGGAAAAACGTTTCTGTGTGTAAAAATAATTTCCATTTTGTTCTGACCGTTGATGGTGCTACTGCGCAGGCGCAGCCTTTTCGCCTTAACACGTGCTCGCAGGTAAGAAATTCACAATATTAAAATCTGAATTAATTTATGTAGATTTGGTGATTTGCTGTAAAATTAGGCATTCATAGCTTGTTGGCTAACATTTATGTTTCATGTGTTGCAACTGTTGCCTTACAGTTTTGCTTTTGTTTTAGCAGAATAGCTAATTTAACGTTAGCTTTACTAATTAGCTAAGAGATGATGCTAGCTAACAGGCAGGTGACGTTTATACGAAAATGATGCATGTATCCCTAGCTCCCATGGTGTGTTCAGCTGTAAAACTCTAAATAATTTTGTTTTGGCAGATATAGACATGAACCCATCATTTTCATCAACTTTTGTTCGACCTAACCAGCCTTTGAGAAAGCCTTCTTCGAGCCCGGGAGCTAATGCCTCCATCATGTCGCCTCCTTCAAGACCGGGCGCCATTAGTCCATCCAAACATTGGACAAGCATTGGAAACGGTACATTAGTCGAGTTTAGCTGCGTCTGGTTTGCTTTATTTAGCCAGTTGTACACTGTTTACATAAATAGCATTCAAAACTATTGTTTTTGTCCTTCATAGGTTCTCCAACCAGCATAAATACATCCCCAGTATGTATCAAGCTTGCATTGACTTTTGTATTTTATTCCAAAAAATTCAGCTTTTTCCTTCTTAATCAATTTTTTTTACCCTCCCAGGTGCTGGGATTATCACCACCAGCACTTACTGTGCACTTGTGCAACTACTGTGGTCAGCAAGGTAAATTAAGAGTTTTAGTTTGAGTCACAACATCACTACTAGATTAATTTTCTGGTTGCACATAGCCTTACAGTGACCAACAGGATAGCTTCTAGATTTTCTCTGAAGGTCACTGACTTTGCAACACAGCCTTGATTTATTTATTTTTTTTTCCAATCAGTGGTACGGTATGAAGTTTCACCTACCGTTGTTCATTAACAGGAAATTTTCGTTGTAAGCGCTGCAAGAAGATACCATATTGCTCCGTGGTGTGTCAGACGGAGGACTGGAAAGCACACAGACACACCTGCATGCCCATTGTTCTCGAACCTGAAAAGTAAGACTCTTGACTCTCACTCAGTATTTAATAAACCCGTTTGTTTATTTAGCAGATTTAATATGGCTAAAAATACACTGCCCATTAAACGGTGTATGCTGATTTGTTTATGTGGCTCTATAGAGAGAAACCAAAGGAAAACTCAGCTTTTCCAGCTGCAGGAGACAGAGCCAGTCCAGCAGAAATTAAGGTATTGCCATACACATTTTATTTTGCCAAGCATCTTGCTTGTTCAGACATATTTCAAAAGAGCTGTGGTCTTTTTTTTAATTTATCTCTAATTAAAGTCCAGTGATTCATTCAGCTGTAAGAAAGTCTATCTAACAGACTTGGCTCTCACTAAAATCATCAAGGGAACAGATATACAGGTTAGACATAACTGCTTAAATCAGTTGTTGAGATTAAAATAGCCCAAACTATTAAACATTTGAAACTTTTATTTGGCTTTTTTTTTTTTCAGGCTTCTGTTCTTGAGTTTTACAACCCTGGTAGGTTTTTTGTACTCTCTCAAAGCCCTGAGGTAGTGGAAGCTTTGCGGAGCATAACCACAGGACTCCAGAAAGCTTGCTGTGACCCATTAAAGACACTTTATATACCCCGTTTTGGGGAGGTTTGCGCAGTTCAGTTTTCCTGTGATATGGTAAGTAGCAGTTCTCCGAAGCAATCAAAAGAGACACAAAAGTATAGTTTGAGTTATTCAGCTACTTGTTTCACTTCATCTTTACTGATCAGAACTGGTACAGAGGCCTTGTCCAGACTTTGGCTGCTGACCAGAAGATGGCAAGTATCCTTTATATTGACTTTGGCAATGAAGAAAGTGTCCCAGTGGACAGGATCAGACCGCTGCCTGCTAACGTCCAACCATTTCCTCCATGTGTGAGTTCATTTAACACTCTAGTTGACTATTTGTTTAAGCTTATAGCGTGGTAATTGATGTCAGTTAATGTTTTTTTTTAATGTTACTTATGCACACAAAGCTGTCAAGGTCAGCTCTTTCCCTACAGATATTAATTACTATTTAACACCCACCAAACTTGAGTTTCTAACAGCTGGTATTATATTAGCTTATTGCTTTATTACTTGCAGGCAATGGAGTGCCGTATTGCTGGCGTGGTGCCGGCGTTTAACGGTTGGTCAGGCGAGTGCTGTCTGGCAGTGGAACAGATGCTTGCAGGCAAGACTGTGACTGTTAAGCTGTTGGAAACCACGGAGGATGGTTTTGTCCATTTGGTGGATATTCTGCTTTCTTTAGGTTGGTTACATGGAAATGAAACGGTTTAGAAAACGTAAAAAAATACAAAGGATTTATAGAAGTGAAAAGTCTTTACTAAATCTTTTGTTTCTTTTTTTTTCAGGAAAGCAACTGAGCACATTTCTCATTGAAGGAGGATATGCACAGAAAGAAACTGTCAGCGCAGCACCTACAAATGGAGATATAAGTAAGCTACTTTATCTTGTACTGCAGCGTGTAATCTGGTAAATCTTAATATCAAGATTTAACTTCTTGAACAGGGTGTAAAGCTGCCACGTAAAAGGCAGATTTAATATATATTGGCATTAACACAGCAGTCATTAGGACACTGAGTTTTCAATTTTATGCAAATGTGGCACTGCGGAGACGTTGCTGCAGTTTGACATTTGTGGTTCCCCATTTTGCCCTTTTTCCTGACTTGGATATGTACTTGTTATCTGGTTCGGGATAGCATTTTAAAGTGGAACAAGTTTCATCTATACTTTTCATCTCTGCTTAGATGTTTGCACTACAGGGGTGGGCAATTATTTTTTCCATGGGGCCACATGAGAAACAACAAATATTGTGGAGGGCTGGCACAAATGACTTTTTCATTCAACCTTTATTTAGACAGGTAAATCCCATTGAGCTTCGAGGACTCATTTACAAGAGAGACCTGATTTCAACTTAACTCAATACTGCATAATAATAGTATTTCATTATTAAAAGCAGTACATAGCGCTGTTTTAACAAGCTGGTAAGAGTATTTGTTATGATTAAGCAACGAAAAAGCGAGGTTTCCTTAAAAAAAGTCATTTATTCAATTAAATTTCCCAGTACAATGGTAAACTGTTAAAATTTTTACCATTTGTGACGTTATATTAGTGATCATTTTCAGTCACATTCACCCCAAAACTCATTTTGAGTTTTATATACTGCTGGAAAAAGTTCTTAGCTTTCTAAATATATCACAATATTGTCTTTGTACTCCAAATATTATGAAACATCATATAGTAGTGATCGTCACTGAACTGTGATTTCTAGTCCCGGTTCTTTACGTGCCTACATTTGTAGTCTAAACATCTCATTTGGTGTTTTTCAGTTCTTTTTTTTTTGTTTAGTGAGAGAAGTCTAGTCTCTGTTGGGCTTTAACGGAAATGTTCAAGTCAGGTTGAAGGTCTGAGGTGGAGATGTGAAGCAAAACTGACATCATCAGTGAGAGAGGATCTATATCTGGATTTGGTTAACTTCATTTGTTTACATATGTATTTTGTAATTCTCCTTACGGGGGCTGGTCAAAGTCAACCAAAGGGCCGCATGTGGCCCTGAGGCCGTACAACGCCCAGGTCTGCACTAAACCAACCAGGATGAGAGTTTTTTTCCTCTCCAGACTCCTTGTTGCAAATAAGCACCTCGTTGACAAACCTCACAGAAACAACCATATAACTCTTCATTGTTGTGCAGTAACAATGACTATTCTTTTAACTGTGTTAACATTTTATTTTATTTGTGGCAGATCTGTTTTTTAACCAAATAAAGCCATATACCCACAATATATTTTGACCATGTTAAACTTGAAAGATTAAAAAAACGTGTGTTACAGATCTATGCAATTGTAAAGCAGCTGGTTTAAACTAACACATTTAGGCTCCACTGATACTTTGATTGTCTGAGAATATTTAACACATATTTGCCTGCAGAGTTTTTATTATCTTGTTTCTCGTAGGTGCTATGTTAAATGCATCCTTTGAAAACTTCAAGTCTCTTTCTCACGGGAAAGATGACAATAAATGGGCTCAACCTCCAGAGCCACTTGTACAGTCCATAGGTGACGAGTTTTCTGTTGTGGTCACCCACTTTCAGTCACCAAATGAACTTATTGTGCAAAAGGTTGAAAATGCTGGTGAGTGTCATTTCATGTCAATAATGCAACCCAAACGTCTCTGCGTCAACGTGTGTTGAGTTCATCTGAAATGTTGGTTTGCAGGAGCCATCCAGGATTTGCAGTTTAAGCTGAGGCAGCACTGCTCTCAGGTTGCAATCCCACACAACTTCAGACCTGCTCCTGGAACGGTTTGCTGTGCCGTATTCTCAGGTAGTATTCCTCCATACACACCGACAATAAATATTATCTGGTTTTAAACCAGCTGTCTGATACTTTAGTCACAGTTTTAGGGCTGCAACTAACGATTATTTCAATAATCGATTCATCGGACGGTTATTTTTTCGATTAATCGATGAATCGGCAAAAAAAAAAAAAGTTTTAATTTCCACCCCTTTATTCCAAAATTGAACATTTGACTGACATAGCAATTCACACTAAAAACAGGTTGCTATTTGACTATTGTGTTAGTAAAATATTGAATAATAAAAAATAAAAGTTAGTCAAATAGCTTAAAAAAATAAATGTACACAAAAATATATACAAATGTATCTTTATACCTGCACAGTATGTAGCTACTTTGTATTATGTGTCCTTGAGGGAAGAGTGTAACCTGGATTAAAAGTGTGGATTATTGTAGTGAAGCCTTCGTCTTCAACCATCGACAGAGGCCTCATGTCAGTGACGATCATTTAAGGATGTTATCAGTGAAGACAGCTGCTGCTGTGGTGTCCATGATGTCTGTCCATCATGAAGGCTTTTGTTGTTGTTGTTGTTGTTTTCTGGAATGAGACAGTAAATATGTATTATAGCATAATTATTACAGCAACTCAAGAAATGCCTTGTTTCACTTACAGTGTTAGGTTCAGGCAAAAGTAGCTAAAAGAGCAATTACACACACACACACACACATAAAATACTTAATTACACACATTTGAGTAGATGTAATAAATTACTTTAATTCCTGTTTAAATGCAATTCATCCTGCCATACCTGCAGTGTCTTCAGACTTTGCCAGCAAATTAAAAGTTGAAGCTTAATCATTAAATTATTATCTTTGTGTTAGATTTATTTATAAATCACATTTAAACACTGCTTGTACCAATTAAATTAAATAAAAAGTAACACACGTCCTCTATCACCACCATTAATCAGCAACAAACAAACAGCAGCTTCATCTCCCAGACAGACTGACGTTACGTTTTCTCTCTTGAAACAGAACAATGTGTTAAATTGTAGAGACTCACCTGCAACACTAGTTGGGAGTGAAACATGTATCAGCTGCAGCTCGTGACTCCGACATGTTTACGTTTTATCTCTGTGGTTCTCCCGTGTCGTGTCGGCGATTTTCAAAGCAGCATTTTTCTCATTTTTTATCTTTGTGAAGTTCTCCCACACTTTGGAGGACTTGGGTCGAACAGTTTTCGCTGCGTTGCTCATTTGTAAAATTTACTTAATTTCCTTTGAAAACACTCTGCTCTGCTTCCTCCTCCCCCCTCGCTCTGTTCAACTCGCGCTGCAGTTTTGTTTGTTTTTTTCAAACTTTATTCAGTCAGTCAGCATTGACAATGAACTGCAGGTGAACAAAACAAAACGGCTCCACAGCGCCATGAAAGATGCATAATCGCGCGACACAACGTATCGATAACGAAATTCGTTGCCAACGCTTTTAATCATCGATTTTTATCGATTTTATTGATTCGTTGTTGCAGCCCTACACGGTTTACTACACTGCTCATTCTACCTAAAAACACCTGGTTTTAATTTTGGATCTGAAAATCCAAACGTGTTCTCCATGCTTATGTTTAATAACGAGCAAACTTTTTTCCTTTTCTCCAGAGGACCAACAATGGTATAGAGCTATAGTTTTGGCGTATCCATCTGAAAAATGCGTCTGTGTCGGCTACCTTGATTTTGGCAACTCTGAGGAGGTAGATTTAAACCAGCTACGACCTATTAGCACTCCACTCCTGGCCCTTCCGGTGCAGGCTATGCCCTGTGGACTAGCAGGTATTTTCTCAGCTGCACAACACATTGAGAGTAGTTGCAAAGAACACACAAATGCTGTTTTGTTTTTAATTTGATTGCTTGCTTGACTGCTCAAACTTGTATTGTTTTATGGTGTCAGACTTCTTTAGGCATCATTCTACTTCTGTACCATAATAAGAAATATCTTAAGGTAAATAATGCATTAATATGTTTCTTTGTTCTTCCTTTAAGGAGTGCAGTCTGCTGAGGAGAGCTGGTCTAAAGACTGCCTTTTTGCTCTGCAGTGCCGCCTGTCTAACAGAATACTGCACATCAAGATCCTTGGAGAGCATCAGGGCAAGTTCTTGGTGGAGATGATCGACGAGGCCAGTGATCCACGGGTCAATATAGGCGAGCTGCTGATCTCTGCAGGTTATGCTGCACCTGCTCCTGTCACAGCCAGCGCTTGCTTGCAAGCTGAGGACACGACTGCTGCAGCAGAACAAGGTGGTGAGAAATGTCGGGAATAAATCTCCCACAATTACGTGAGTCTTTAATATCACAGAATGAACAGATCTTTAATTAGGTTTTCCACAAATGCAGTTTCATATGATGTATTTTATGGCAATTTTGGATTCAAACATGACCAATTTAAGAAAAATGATTACATTTAAGGAATTTCTATTTTAAGAAGCCTAAGTGCTTCATCATTAAAACAGTTTAACATTCTGTGGTCATTTTTTTTCACTAATGTGAGGATGTCTCAGCTGCTGCTTTTGTTCAGTGCACAGTGTTTCCTGGTGAGCAATCTAAACAGAAAAGTATGGTATTTGTCTGTGTCACCCCCCCTCAGCTGCTTCCTCTGTGTCTGAGCATCTGGTTTGGTCGGTTGCTGAGCTCCCCACGGACGGCCAGACTGTGGCGCTGCTCACCAGTGTTATAGAAAACCCTGGACAGTTTTACTGCCGCCTCAGCAGTCCCACAGGTTTTGTTGTTGTTTAATTTTTTACAAAAAGTTGTGCTACCTTTGACTGAGATTTGCCTCTAAATAGATTGACTTTTGCATTTTTTTTAATTTATTCGATTATGGGAAAATTAGGCTGTTGTAAATGAATTATTCTTGACTTGAAATAATTTATATTTTCTAGACAACTTTTATCATAACAAAGAAGAATAGTCAAATATTATCAGAGGTTTTATTTACAGCATATGTCTGAGAACTGCAAGTCGAGTTGTGTTTGACTACCGGTAGTTGTTTTATTTCTCAGCCCATCAGCAGCTAAAAGAACTTAGGGCTCAGATGAAGCAGCATTGTGAAGCTCATTCCACCCCTTTTGTTCCCACCCTGGGAGAGCCCTGCTGTGCAGTGTTTCCTGGTGAGATCATATCCAGAGCTCTTTGTTTTAATTAAATATTGCCAACACAGTAAAACTTTTAAAATGTGACAGATACTTTTATACATGATTTAGACTTGTTCTTTTTTCCGTTGGTGTTTCAAGCATGTTTGAATGTCTTGACCTGTTCTGCGTTCCTCCAAGGGGATGGAGCTTGGTGCCGGGCCATGGTGAAGGGACGCTCTGATGGCAAAGCTGCAGTGAACTTTGTGGACTACGGTTACAGCACAACAGTGGAAAATGGCCACCTGCGGCCCATTACACCCAAACTTCTGACACTTCCTTTCCAAACAGTTTGCTGCTGGCTTGCAGGTAATCTGATGTCAGGATAACAACCAGCAGTCTCATAGTTTTTCACTGTAGACCAAATTGTTTATTTTTCCTAATTGGATCTTAAAATATTCAATGAGAAACAAAGTTCGCAATATCACAGTCCTACTACAGTATTAAAATTTATTTGATAATGATTATAGATGTAAAGTGAAATCCGTATGTTCTGTATATATATATTTCTTCACTGGTTCTGTGTAACAGGTCTCTTGTTTCTGTACAGTGCCCTGAGATGACTCTGTTGTGACTTGGCACTATTTAAATGAATTGAATTAAATGAGTCCCAGAGGTTCATTGGGCACTACCGTACTTTCCACCGATAACGTCGCATTGCCGTATAAGTCGCATCAGTCCAAATATGTCTAATAAAGTAAAAAAAAAACAAATACATCACAGGGCATGCAATTTTATGCAAAAACTGTGACTTATACAGTGAAAATAATGGTAACCGGTATAAATAAAGGTTGCATGAGTCAGAGTTAGTACTGTTTGTTGATTTTTTTACGAGTAGTTCACGTAGTAGAAGATGCATGTTTAAAAGTTTCTGTCATATTGGGTTTGTGTTGAACCAGGTGTGGAGCCTCTTGGTTCAGAGTGGAGCAGTGAAGCCCTCCTGTGGTTCCAGACTCTGGTGGATGGCGAACCGCTCAGCGCACGCGTCCTTACTGTCACTGAGCAAGGGTATGGTGTAGAACTGGAGTGCAGAGGCAAGAACGTGGCAGCTTCCCTGATTTCTGAGCAGCTCGCTAAAGTTTCTGGAGGAACTTTCAAAGAGTCACCAGCAAAGATGAGCTCCATAACCAAACAACAAGAGGGCGTGAAGCAGAATGAGGACATAGTTCAAGCCTGTGTTCAGACTGAAGCCAGTTCTAAAGAGAGAATGAGGGAAGAGCAGGCATCAGAAGGTGAACTAGAGTGTCGAGGCTTATTAAAAATAATAAGTGCACACTTGTTTTAAAATATTGTATTCTTGGTTTTCAGTTGCTTCTTTTCCAGTGGATTGGAAAACAGTGGAGCTACCGCTTAACGAGACCTTTCAGCCTTTCATCGCAGCAGCCATTAGTCCTTCACTCTTCTACCTGTTCTGCCCTACTCAGGGTGAGAACACTGACTCGCTGCTCTGTCGGCCCACAGCTTTACATCGTTTCAGTACTTTATTTTTATTGAACATTTGTGTGTGCGCATGTGAAGTGGACCAGCAGAAGCTTCAGGACGTGATGATCGAGCTGGCTGCCTTCTGCAGCAACAAACGGAATACTTTATCTGCAGCTGTAAACATCAAACCTGCTCCTGGTGCTGCCTGTTGTGCTCAGTTCTCTGGTAAGAAAAACTAAATACTACTGTATTTTTAAGTCACATCAGTCCAAAAATGTCTTATAAAATGGAACAAAACATAAATAAGTCACTTCGCCGTATAAGTTGCATCTATTATGCGTCACCGCTGACAACCTGGAAATGTGGGCCGTGTTGTGCCAAAAATTGATTGGTTGCCAAGTGGCTGCCACGGGAGCGTGAACTGGAGGACTTGTAACAAGAATTTAACAAGATAACCATCTAAAAATAATTATTTGTTTGCTCGACTTTATATTAAAGATGTGTCTCAGTCTAACTTTTCCTTAATAAATGCACTTTAACAGCTGCATTTCAAAAGTATTTGCTGCCTCGGTGCTCCAGGAGCGCGCAGAGAGAGGAAATCAGGAAGGAGCAACGCTGTTCATTTCTTCGAAATTTAACAAGCTAAGCACCTAAATCAATTGTTTGCTGGACGTTATAGCAAAAGTGTGTCTCAGTTGAACTTGGAACTTAATAAATGCACTTCACTGGTCAAATCAGCTGCATTTTGCCGGGGCAGCCAAATTAAGCTGATTTGATGGTTGCTCCAGACATGATCCCGGAGCTGGACGAAGGTGAGAGACTATGGCAAACCAGTTGTGTCATTAATAGCCACTTTTACCTATTACATGACATAACAGCATGCCATACTTCTCGAGTGAGTGCCATCTAACTGCTGAAAATTGTAGTGTTCAATATTTTCTATGTCGGAATGTATGAGAACGGTCATCTAAATCAAAAATTGGTTTATAAATATGGGGAAAAAAATCCATAAATAAGTCGCAGGGCATGCAAGTTATGCAAAATGTGATTTATAAGCCAACAAATACAGTAATACATTAAAAGTGATGTTCATAATTAAACATTCTTTTCCTGTTATGTTTAAAATATCGTCAGTGTCGTCAATATCATAAGAAGGGATTGAAATTAAGTTTCAGTGGACAGTAGCAAGAAAATGAGCATTTGCTCAGAAAATATATTAAAAATAAAATGCACTTCAGATAAATCGTAAACTTCAAAGTGATTCATATATAAGAGCCAACAATAAAAAAGTTATTATTATAAAGACATTACAGAGCTTTGGCAGGTGGATTATTTTTCTTAAGGAGAAACTTGAATAAAGGCAGCAGGATAAATTTTTTATAAAAGAAGGAGAGTGATGTTTTTTTCCCCAACAGGTTCACATTGACAGGTCAGCAACGTGAAAACAGACGAGCTGATCCAATGCTGAGCTATTAACCTCAGACCTGTGCAACAACTTTCAGTACATATTTTTCCCCCATGAAGTTTAGAAATATGCTCTATGTTCCTAAGACCCACCTGCAGTTGCTGCCCCTGCACACCCAAGCTGGTAATTTCACATCTGTGAGTAGATGTAATTACACAGTGAGCATCTGTGTCCGTGCCTAGTGCCTGCTAAAGCTTCTTTAAACACAGCATTCAGGTAGGAGACGAGTCTGGAGAACATTCCACAGCCAGCTAACCACAAGCTCTATTTTAATGGCGATTTTTGAGCTGGATGTTATAAAAGCTGTTGTTAAAAACTGATTAGACCCGACCCCCCCCCCCCCCCCTTTGGGGATGACGAAGGCTGTAAGTTGAAAGATTTAGTTTGATTTTGTGGCATTTGTTTCTTACTGAAGTGAAGAGTGGAGACGTGAGGTAGATTTGCTGCAAGAGCCAAGGCCTGGGACTTAACCCTAATATACACCTTCATTTGTTTTTGTTTTTTTTCTCCAGCTGATCATACCTGGTATAGAGCAGTCGTCCTGGAAGCTGGTGAGACTGAGATGAGCGTCCTCTATGCAGACTACGGCAACAGTGAGATGGTACCATTCTCTCGAGTCCTGCCCATCCCGGCCCACCTGTTGCAGCTTCCTTTTCCAATAGTTCGTTGCACCCTCAGCGGTAAGACAAAAGTGCTTTTAAGTGTTACCGACCCTCACTGCAAGAGTTGTTCTGTTTGAACTGCATCATTTCATTCTTTAATCACATTACCTCATTTCCTACATTAACAGAAAAAGAGCACTTTCCTGCAGTTTGGCCTAAAGAAGTGCAGCAGGTGTTTCGGGCTGAGCTAGCGAACGCCGTCCTAGCCACTCCTCAGTCTTTTGATGGCTCTGCTAATGTGCTGTCCCTCACATTGCCCACTGAGAGGGGTGGGGGGGACATCGCTGCCATGATCCTGGATTCATTACAAACCCACTTCAAGAGAAAGCATTCTCCAGATTCCAGCCAGAGTGACAAAACTGGCAGCAGCGCTTCTCTGAGCTCTGCAGCTGCAGCTGCCTGCCCCCAGCCTGAGTCACCGTCTGACTCTCAGGATCAGCTGGAAAATACAACTGGGCCGGTTAATACCACGGTGTCCATTAAAAGCCCAGAGCCAACTGCATCTGTTGGTGGTGAGTTAATGCAGAGCTTCCGTGTGTTTAGAGGGGTGGGGGGTTATTTAAAAAAAAATCCATTCAACCTTTATTTATACAGCTTGGTCTCACTAGCTATGTTTACATGGACATAAGTAATCGGATCAAATGGCCGTTTGGAATAAAAATGCGTCATGTAAACACCCTGTTCAGGTTATTTTTTGTTTATTCAGCGTGATCCGAAATGTGTGATCAGAACTAAACGGGTGGTTTACGTCTATTCATAACCCAAACGGTGCGCATGTGAACGCTTGATCCGTTCATTTTTTTTTTTCTGATCGTGAAAAAATGACTGCGCATGTGCGACTTTGTCATTTCCGCCTGGCTAATGCTAATAATATTAGCATGTCGGAGAAGCAAAACTGGTCAGTGAGCGACACAACATTTCTACTAGAAACTTTGATAGAGCTCAAAATGATCTGTGTTACCTGTAGCTCAGTCAGGGAGAGCAGTAACGTCTCCACCGTCATTAAAACCTGTCACGGCTCCATTTTGGGGTCCATACTTGTTTTAACAAAGAATGATGACACGGTAGACGGTCATTTAAAAAGCATATAAACTGGGAAAAATAAATGGAAGAAAATTATATTAAAAACGAAACCCATAAAAAAGTACATTGTAAGCGATGTAGAAAACTAAAAACAGGAACATGACTGCATTGGTTTTTGAGATAAAGTTAGCGATTGTTTGAAGCCACTTAAAGAGGTTTCAAGAGCTTCAGATCTTTTTATAAGATATTCCAGGAAACAGGAGCAGAGTAGGAGAAGACCCTTTTGTCTAGTTCAGTCTGCGCTCAGGGAACGCTGCAGGTAATGATGTCCTGAGAGCGCACGCTGTAGCTGCACTCACGTAGAGACATGTAGGAGGAGATGTATGAAGGCAACAGACCAAGAAGTGATTTAAAGATGAAAATGTACCAGTGGGAGAGTCTGTGTGAAGTTAATGATTAGTGAACTAGATATTAGTTGACTACACCAAAACAAGAAGTTGTGCACACCATTTGTGTTTTCATATTTTTATATTAAATAGAGATGCACCAATACACATTTTTCACTTCCGATACTGATCCGATACAGAAAAAACATTACTGAATTAACTTTTTTTTTTATTATTATTATTTTTTTTACACAGACATATAATTGTACTGAATTACAAATGTATTGAAAACTCTGCACCAGTACAGCACACTTAAACACACCAGTAGCTTCACAAGCTTGGTCAAACATGTAAAAACAACACAACTTTAATTTAAGTCAGTGCAATTACGAGTATAACATCCAATGTAAAATAAAAAAAAATAAAGATACTGAAACTGACAAAAGCAATAGGTTGACAACTTTGGTCAAACGTGAAAAAATAAACTTCACCAAACCTTTCAAATGGTTCAGGAATTCTAAATATAATGTAAAATAAATAATAAAGGCGCTGAAATAAGAGTGAGAAGAACAGCTTCACTAGCAGATATTTAAAATAAACTGCAATCGGCTCCTGTCCCAGTGGATCGGTCACTTTGTCACTGATACCAGAGAAAGAACTTTTCGATACGAGTACCGATACCGATCTAATATCGGATCAGTGCATCTCTATATTTCATGTTGTGAATAAATCTGACTGGACAATAGTAACCATGTTTGTGTTGTTAGGAGGGCGTTTTTCATAGATTGACACGGTTTATTTTGCTTTTTAGAAGATTCAGAGAAGGAGATTAACCAAGTGGAACCACTCAGCCAAAATAGTTCCAATGTTACTGGTATGTATGCATAAAAACATAAATGTTATTTTTCATTGTTCGTGAGCTTTAAGACCTTGTAATGTTCACTTGACTTTTTTGACTTCAGTTCCAGAGCCGCAGACTTCCAGCTGCGACTGTCGGTACCTGAAGGAACAGGTCGGAGCTGGTTTCACTTCGAACAGTAACACATTTAATATGTTTTACTGCAAAAAACATTTATTGTTGTTCCGCTTCTTTTTGCAGATCGGCAGTCTGGAACATATAATGGAACAAATGATGGAGCATATGAAACAGATGCAGCTGCAGTTTATTCTCATCAAAGAGCTGGAGAGAAACAAGATGCACTAAACCAAGATCTTATCGTTATTTACTTAAGTTTTTACTCCCTTGTATCGGGTTAATTGAAAATAGTTTTGTGTTTTTGTAATACTGCGTACATTCATGGCTCCAGTGTTTTTCTTCTGTTGTATTCCAGTTTTTATTACTCCAAATCAGTTTGCTTTTTACTTCCTGTAAAAGCCAGCAGCATGTTCAGCCTCGGTTATCATGAAGTTTCTGTCTGCTTTGGTGCATTCTGCCATCTTTCTTTGTTCACCTGCAGGAGTGGGACGTCCACCCAGACTACTTTGTTCATCTTGTGTTTGAGTGTTACATAAACTTTCAGTGTGATTAAACATGAGCAACGTTTAGCTTTTGCAAAACGAAGTGATGCTTTTACACAATGAGGCAGATTAAACGACCTCGGTTCCAAGTTAAGACCCGTAAAAATGCTCATAAACACAAAGCGATGATTTGCTCATCAGCCTTTATTTTAATTAAATGGAACACGCCGGTAATGAAGGTGGCACCTCACAGCGAGAAGGTCGCTGGATCAATTCCTGGCTGGGGACCGTTCTGGGTGGAGTTTGCATGTTCTCTCCGTGCATGCGTGGGTTTTCTCCAGGTACTCCAGTTTCCTCCCGCAGACCAAAAACATGGATGTTGGGCTGATTGGTAACTAATTCCCTGTGATGGACTTGTATCCTGTCCAGGGTGTCCCCCACCTCTTGTACACTGACTGCTGGATATGGCCACCAGTGATCCCTGCAACCCAGAAAGGAAGAAGTGGGTAAAGATGATGGATGGAACATGCTAAATGTGAAAAGTAAAAAAAAAAAAAATTTATTTCAAGAGGAAAAAAAAAAGTAATTCAGGAATTTATAGCAGCAGCGCTTCTTACAAAAGGCTCAACCAAAGCCATGTTTATCACTGAAGCACCCCCTCAGGACTGAATGTGTAAGAACTTGGGAGACCGGGTGCTGGTGTGTGTGTGACTGCTATTCAACAATGCTCAAATGTTTTGTTGGGTTTGTCTTTATGATGCGCCAAAATTAGTGTGACCAGTTTTGAACCTCTCTTCTACAAAGCAATGCTGTTGGAATTCAGATGTTAGTCTTTTAGCATCATCTTGTTGAAATAAGCAAAGCTTTCCATTCAAAAACAGACCACCTGGATGAAGAACATGTTATAAAAACTGCTTTTCTGCATTGGGTGTGCCTTTATGAATGTGTAAGCTGCCCATGCCATTAGCAATAATGCACCCCCATACCATCAGAGAGGCAGAATTTTATATTAAGTGCTTATATTAGACCGTATGGTTCTTTCTGGTACGGAGGGTGTGGTTTCCAAAAATGATTTCAGATTTTGATGTCACCACAACAGTTTTAAACATTGTTTCAATCCATTTTAAAATTTTGTTCAAACACAACGGCAGCGTTTCTGGATAACGTTCACGCATGGCTTCGTTGCGTAAAAGCTTTTTACCTGCCTTTGTAAATGGCCTGGTGAACTGTGTTTACAGTGATTTATGGAAGAGTTCCTACGTCTAAGCAGTGATGCTGGAGGGCATGAAGATCAGACATCTCTGAGATTTTCAGTTTTGTCCCGTGAGCTCAGAGGTTTCTCCAGACTCTTGAAGTCATTTGATATGACCTGTAGATGATGGGATAACAGAAGCGTGCCTCGTTTTTCATTGGTGGGGGGGACATTATTCTGAAACTGGTCCACAGCTTTAAACGTTTTGCTGCAGACCAGGAAACCTCTTCCCATCTTTTCTTGAGATGAGCTTCCTACTGACCTGTTGCCAAGTTCATCTAAACGGGTACTAAATGCTCCTCCAGCTGTTGAGCCACTGCTCCCCCCACCCCCAATTCTTTCAACTATATATATATATATATATATATATATATATATATATACATACACACACACACATATGTGTGTGTGTTTTTTTTTTTTTTTACTTTAAACGTGCCATGGAAGTGAATGCAGGACCAGGACAGACTGTATTCTGCAGGTACATCAGAGGTGGGGTTTTAGGAGTAGGTGGGGTCGCTACTCTCCCCCCCCCCGCCCCCTGGGCACCCGCCGCCCGCGCGCCCCTCCCCCCCCCCCCCCCCCCGGAGCAAACATCCTCACATTTGATCAGACTGCCTCAAAGCAACTAGGATCTAAACAGGAAGGGCGCAGGGAAGGAGACATTTTTATCCGTCGTGGAGTGGAATTTGGGGGTGCGTTTGTTTTGATGACCGGCTGGCGGCGGCTACAGCATCGCTGAGGGAAAGCCTGCAATCTTCTTCGAAGGTAATGTTTAAAGTTTGTAGAGACGTTTAGTGAGTCATGTTGAGCTCTCGTAAAGACAAACCTTTGGAAATGCGCGTGGTATTACTAAATATTAAAGTGTATAAAACACGAGACAGATTTGTACCCGTGTCGGACAAAACAAACAAAAAACACTTTTTAAAGCCAGCTTGTCAATGTCCTGACATTTGACCCCGTTTGTTCTTGACCCCTGACACGTGACCGGATGTTAAAAGCAACTAAAAGCTAAACAGGTGTGATTCGCTGGTCATTCAATATTTTGACCTAAGACGTGTTTTTTAAATGTATAAACAAGTGAAAATGCATAGTTGTGGTTTTCAGCTCTGTTGTTTGTTATTCTGGACATCATTACTGACAGGGAAGGTTATAAATGTTCACTTCCATGTTTTTTACCTGATCATGGCCATGAGGAACACCTGCAGCGCCAGTGATGCCTAACAGTCATAGAGGGGTCCAACTAATTTATTTATTTATTTTTTTAAATGTCTACTCAAAACTACATATTTTCTAGCCATTTGAAGTGCATTATTCTAAATTCGTATTAAAACAAAACAAAAAAATCAGCATCTTTATTGAAAGGTGGAACACTGAGCACTAACTTAACTTGATCTGAGATCAAACTTGAAATTTAATGACTCTTTTCTTTTCTTTTTTTTACACACTGAGCAGTTAATTTATTTTGACTGAACCACACTGGGATTTGATCCGGTCACCTTCTCAGTGAGACGCGACAGCCCTACCAACTGCGCCACCGTACTGCTCCCGACCAGAGGACTTTATGGGTGGACTTTGCATGTTCTCTCCGTGCGTGCATGGGTTTTCTCCCACAGACCAAAAACATGCATGTTAGGCTGATTGGTAACTCTAAATTGTCCCTAGGTGTGAATGGTTGTTTGTCTCGTTTGTCTCTATGTGGCTCTGTGATGGACTTGCAACCTGTCCAGGGTGTACCCCACCCCTCGCACAGTAATTGCTGGACATGGGCACCGGCGACCCCCGTGACCCAAAAATGGAATAAGCGGGTAAAGATAATGGATGGATGGATGAATCGGTTAATAAACATACCTGAACTTTAACTTTGCCCATTTTTCTTGTTGCCAATTACTTTTTTTACAAGCTTACTTTGCATTACTGTACATTTTTGATAGTTTCTGCTTTTAGCACAATTATTTGAGTGTCCCCTCCTTATGCAAGACAGTGGGGGGAGGCAAATCTATCTGGGACTGTCCCACCCAAATTGGACAATTGGCAGGTACACTACACTTCAGGCCCTTTGTAATTTGAATAATAGTTGTCTTTGTGTGAGCAATCAACCTGGAAATTGTCATATCTTCACATTTTTTACATGTACATTGAAAAAAAGGACAAATATGGTAATTATCTACAAACCTGTGATTATCAACTGGTGGCCCGCGGGCCAGAAGTGACTCATGGGAAGTTTTGTTGACGTGTTTACATGACTTAAAACAAAGATTTTTCCACATTAACTTTGCGTTTGAAGCTCTTGGAATGTGATGTCTTTTTCCTCCCAGACAATGAACAAAAATTAATCTATCTTCCTGTTTTCCACTAACTTTATCCATACTGGAAATTCATTAAACACAGCAGTTTTGTGGCAGTAAGAATTGTACTGTGCAACAAAGCCTTCGAAATTACAAGTTGTCACCTCTCAGTATCCTGCATATAAATATATAGTTAACATGTTAAATATAATTTGATAATATATAGATTATTAAAAATGTAACACATTACAAAACAAGTTAGCGTTTTCCTATTTTTTATTTTTTCCCTAAATTCTTCTGTCTTTATCTATTTCTGCATACTTTGCTATTTTACACATTCATTAATTTAGCTCAGTTGGGAAAAGGGCGTTGTGACTTGTTTCTTCAAACCTTTGTACTTTACAAAACATTTTTCTTTAATGCAACTATTCATAGAAATCCATAATTTCTTCAGTGATTTAGAAAAATATTGATCTCTTTAAAATCTGCTTCACTGTACGCTATTTGTGCCTTCTTTTGCTTACTTTAGCTTTTAGCCCTTCTGCTACTTTTAGCTAGTCTGTTGCTACTTTAAACTCACATTTACTTACTTTTAGCTATTAGCTAATCTTTTGCAGAGAAGCAATCATTTTTGCTACATTTTCTACTTTAATGTTAATACAATGTTAACTTCTTAAGTAATTCAGCACTTATCATTTATACTGTATTCTTACAGATCATGCTGTATATATAATTATAGTGTGAATGCTTATTAAGCATTCACACTATTGTGATCCTGTTCATATTTATAAATTCAAGTTTTTCATGGTAATTTCTGCCACTTTCAGCATATTTAACTTCTTTCTGCTAATTTCAGCTTGTTATACTCCTTTCACCTTATTTCTGCTAGATTCAGTTATTTCAGCTATTATTTAGCTGTTTTATGCTAATTTTAGCCTTTTCAGCTAATTCCACATTTTTTGCACTCATTTAAACTTTTTTCAGCCTAATTCAGCAAAAGCATGCTCTGCCCACTTACTTCTGGTAATTTAAGTTTTTTTTTGTTGCTTTTTAAGCTACGTTTCAGCTGTTTTTTGTTCATTTAAGGTTTTTCAGATAAATTCCACTTTTTTGTGCAAATGTCTGCTTTTTTCAGCGTAATTGGTGTTATTTCAGCTTTCTTCTGCAAATTTAAGCTTGTTTAGCTTTTTCAGCTACCCCCCCCCCCCCTTTTTTTTTTAGCTTTTTTTTTTAGCTAATTTCAGTAGTTTTCAGATCAATTCAAGTTTTTCATGTAATTTCTGCTACTTTCAGCCTAATTAATTTCTTTATGCAAATTTCAGCTTGTTATGCTCCTTATATATTTTTCTGCTATTTCAGCTACTATTTAGCTGTTTTTATGCTAATTTTGGCATTTTCAGCTAATTTCTCATTTCAGCTTTCCACTTCCTTCTGGAAGTTTATACTTCTTTCTGCCTTTTCAGCTATTTTTCAGCTATCTTTTGACTAATTTCAGCTTTTTTTAGCTACTTGCCTCATTTTTTGCTCTTTTCTGCTTATTTAAACCTAATTCAGCAAAAAAAAATTCGTTATTTCTGTTTTCTTCTGCAAATTTAATCTTGTTTTGCCATTTCAACTACTTTTCATCATGCTTTTTAGCTAATTTCAGCTGGTTTATTTTTTTTAGCTAATTTCAGCTGTTTTTCAACAAGTTCTTCTGCAATAAGCATTCACACTGTGTTTTTGCAGGAAATGCAATTTCTCTATGTATTTATTTTTGTCATTATTATTAATATTAGTAGCAGTAGTATTCAAAGACTGGTCACTGTCAAGTGTCCTTATAAAATGTAGTATTTTAATAAAGTTGTAATGTGTTCAGATCAGTAAAAAGTAAAGTGTTAACCCTACACACTGCTCCACCTCTGTGTGGCTCTCAGTTTGCTTTTGTAGCACATTCCAACACTTAAGTGCACATAATTACTTTGTGATCTAGAACTGTAGCTTTTAATCAGACAGATGTTCAAACAACAACACACAAAAAAAGAAGAATTTCCACATTGCCTTTGCTGTTATAAAAGCGGTTATTTCAGGTGAGTCACCCTGAAATAAACTAAATGTTAAAATCACACACAAACTTCAAATACAGTTTTGGTTCACTGCATTTTCTATGAAGTTGGCTCAAAAGTAGCACTCCTCGCTAATTATAGTGTTCACTGCAGAGGCGTTTTCCAACATAAGAACCTATTTAAAAGAGACAGCACATCTGTAGCATAGGCCTTTTATTTACTTTTTATTAGAGAGGTTTTTGTTTAAATGTGACATACTTTATTTTCTTAATCAATGTAAAACTGACTCCTTTTACAGAAGCCTAATGTCTAGTGTTTTTATGAGTATTTTCCCTTCCTGTTGGTCTGCAGAGCCTGTTAAGTACAGGCTTGTTTAAAGGTACACTGATGGAGGAATGCTTGTGAAGAAGCAGCCAAGGTATGAGACAGGTGTGTGTGTGTGTGGGGTGTGTGTGTGTATGTTTTAACCATAGGCATGCTTGACTGCTTCCACAAACTGCACCCCGGTGGCAGTGAAGAGGCCTCTTGTCATCAGGACGTGGCAGCGAGCGCACAACAGAGCATTAACAATTCGTGGTGATGTTTATCGTCAGTCAGCTGCCGACATATCAGCTCTGCAGACGCAGAGTCTCCTCTGAAAGCGAAGCTCCGTCCTGCACACAATCCTGACTCTGTCTCAGAAATGCACACAGCTCCACCTACGCACAGGGGTCTCCCTGGCTTGCCTTGACCTACCTCAGTGCAGGATATTATGGCTGTGCTTATCAGCAGCCGGAGTTATTCAGGCCTCTGATGTGGAGCCAACAGTGGCCAAATAACAGAGCAGACAGATGATGGTAGGATTATCGGGCTAATGGGAAGCATATAAACTAGGGATGTACAATATTAGGTTTTTGGCTGATATCCGATATGCCAATATGTTAAAACTTATTTGGCTGATAACCAATACCAATTCTGATATTTTTCCCCAAGACCTACTTACTTACATAGCTTTCTCTGCTGTGGAATTAAAATACCACATTATTATATATGGTCTTTGTCAGTTTGGCCTGCTACCAAATGCAGATGCCAAAAAGGGGGTTGAAAATGATGTAACACTTCAAGTTGGATTATGTTTAATGTCAAATTTATTCATGACATTTACAGGTGCTGGTCGCAAAATTAGAATATCATGAAAAAGTTGATTTTATTTCAGTAATTCCATTCAAAAAGTGAAACTTGTATATTCATTCATTACACACAGACTGATATATTTCAAATGTAATTTTTTTTTTTAAGGTTGATGATTATAACTGACAACTAATGAAAACCCCAAATTCAGTATCTCAGAAAATTAGAATCCATCCATCCATTATCTTTACCCATTTATTCCATTTTGGGTCACGGGGGTCGCTGGTGCCCATGTCCAGCAATCACTGTGCGAGGGGCGGGGTACACCCTGGACGGGTCGCAAGTCCATCACAGGGCCATATAGAGACACACGAGACAAACAACCAACAACTCTCTCACTCACACCTAGGGACAATTTAGAGTTACCAATCAGCCTAACATGCATGTTTTTGGACTGTGGGAGGAAACTGGAGTACCCGGAGAAAACCCACGCATGCACGGAGAGAACATGCAAACTCCACCCAGAAAGGCCCCCGGACCGGGGTTTGAACCAAGGACCTGCTCGCTGAGAGGCAGCAGCTCTACCAGTTGCGCCACCGTGCTGCCCAGAAAATTAGAATGTTAAGACCATTTAAAAATAATATATTTTTTAGAAATGTTGGCCAACTGAAAAGTATGAACATGAAAAGTATGAGCATGTACAGCACTCAATACTTAGTTGGGGCTCCTTTTTGCCTGGATTACTGCAGCAATGCGGCGTGGCATGGAGTTGAACAGTCTGTGGCACTGCTCAGGTGTTATGGGAGCCCGGGTTGCTCTGATAGTGGCCTTCAGCTCTTCTGAATTGTTGGGTCTGGTGTATCACATCTTCCTCTTCACAGTACCCCATAGATTTTCTATAGAGTTAAGGTCGGGCGAGTTTGCTGGACAATTAAGAACAAGGATACCATGGTCCTTAAACCAGGTACTGGTAGCTTTGACACTGTGTGCATGTACCAAGTCCTGTTGGAAAATGAAATCTGCATCTCCGTGAAGTTGGTCAGCAGCAGGAAGCAGGAAGTGATCTAAAACTTCCTGGTAGACGGCTATGTTGACCTTGGACCTCAGAAAACACAGTGGACCAACACCATTAGATGCTATGCCACCCCAAACCATCACTGACTGTGGAAACTTGACACTGGACCTCAAGCAACATGGATTCTGTGTCTCTCCTCTCTTCCTCCAGATTCTGGAACCTTAATTTCCAAAGGAAATGCAAAATTTATTTTCATCAGAGAACATAACTTTGGACCACTCAGCAGCAGTCCCTGGTGAGACACTTCTGACACTGTTTCTTGTTCAAAAGTGTCTTGACACAAGGAATGTGACAGCCAAACTCCTTGTCTTGCATATGTCTGAGCGTGGTGGTTCTTGAAGCACTGACTCCAACTGCAGTCCACTCTTTGTGAATCTCCCCCACATATTGGAATGGGTTTTGTTTCACAATCCTCTCCAGGGTGCAGTTATCCCTATTGCTTGTACACTTTTTTCTACCACATCTACTCCTTCCCTTCACCTCTCTATTAATGTGCTTGGACACAGAGCTCTATGAACAGCCAGCCTTTTTAGCAATGACCTTTTGTGTCTTGCCCTCCTTGTGCAAGATGTCAATGGTCATATTTTGGACAACTGTCAAGTCAGCAGTCTTCCCCATGATTATTTAGCCTACAGAACTAGACTGAGACCATTTAAAGGCCTTTGCAAGAGTTTTGAGTTAATTAGCTGATTAGAGTGTGGCACCAGGTGTCTTCAATATTGAACCTTTTCACAATATTCTAATTTTCTGAGATACTGAATTTGGGGTTTTCATTAGTTGTCTGTTATAATCATCAACATTAAAAGAAATAAACATTTGAAATATATCAGTCTGTGTGTACTGAATGAATATAATATACAAGTTTCACTTTTTGAATGGAACTACTGAAATAAATCAACTTTTCATGATATTCTAAGTTTATGACCAGCACCTGTACTCTCTCTAACACAATGACAACACTCGAACAGTGCAAATTTGTAAATTTTCACAAATCTAAACTCAACTGTGCACTTGACGTCACAATGTGCTGGCGCTGCAGGCATCCTTGTCACTCGGTTGTCATACAAAAACAGCGCTTTTTATATCGGTGAGTTATTTTGATGGAACGGCCGATGTCTGATATTTACCTTTATCGCTAATATTGGCCGATACGATACCGTGCTGATAATATCGTGTGTCCCTAGTACAAAGTCAAATCGTATGCTCATTTACCATCTTTTTATCACCCAACATCTAAGGTGAAGCTGTGATGTTTTTTGTTCGTATTTGTGTGTGTGTTACATGACACCCAGTCAATTGTACAGATATTGAGCTAATACTTGTTGTGGTTGTTGCTAGGAGTCGTCCTGAACATGCACTCTGAGCAGCTTTTTATGCACTTTATGCACTTTGCAATGCAGTGGAGCCAACTGTGTGATCCATGGATTTTAGAACAACTAAAATAATTTTAGTCTTAAACACGGTGGGTGTGGAAAATCTTTATGTGAGCTCGAGCAGAAACGCCTGTCTGTACAAATCGTGCTTTTTGTGTTTGTAAACCTGGAAGAGCAGCTTCCCTTTGAGTCGTTCACACTCCGCAGATTTAATAAAGAACAGACTGTCAAAACACTCAAACTCAACACTACTTTCTTTTGTTGGGGAAAAACTACTTCCCAAACGTCTTCGCCACGTTTAATTCTGCGTACTTCTTGCTTTGAGGGCTTCTTGACCCTACAGTTACTGTAGTAATCCTACAGTTACAGTTACTGTAAATGTGCACAGGATCGTTTAACACTTGGACTCTGAGATCAGTTTTACTCTCATGTTCTTTGGCTTCTAACTCCTGTTACTTTTGTGCTGTTTCAACACTTCAAACATCAAAAAGTTTAGCTTGTTCGGAGCATTCCTGCCATGACTTTTGTGAACTTTTTTTCTTTTTCAGCTGTTTTCCCTCATTGAAAATGAATCTTCTCATCCTTCTGACTCTTTGGGCTGTTTACAACTTTTTACTGCTCATTCCAGCTTTTGTTCCGGTTCAGCTTTTTTCCACTTGTTTTTGCTATCTTTAGTTTCCTTCAGCTCCTTTAACTTCGCTCTGCTCATTTCAGCTTTTTTCTTGTTGTTGTTGTTTGTTTGTTTTCAGCTTGTTTCCTGCTTCTTTTAGCTTCTTTTTTCTAATTTCAGCTTTTTTGTGCATTTTTCAGCTTCTTACATGCCTTTTAGCTTCTAGCAATTTTTTTGTTGTTGCTAATTTCATAATTTTGGCTACTTTTAAGATAATTTCATCTTTAATGTGATCTATTCAACTTTTTTCTTCCTGTTTCTTTTTTGTGTGCATTTTTAGCCATTCTGAGTTAATTTCAGCTTTGTGTGCTTTTTCGACTTCTTTCGGCCACCCTTCTGCTAATTTTAGGTGCTTTGTGCTTTAAGCTTCCTCTAGTTTCAGCTTTTTTTATTTTCCTCTAGGCTTTTTTCAGGCAATTCAAGCTTTTAACATTCAGCCTTTTTTTCACTTATTTTAGCATGTTTCTGCTACTTATAGCTTTTAGCTTTTTTTTCAAAATCTTTTAGCTCTGTTTTTATAATTTCAGTGGCCCTGGGTTTTGTGCTCCTATTGTACTTTTTAGGTATTGGTGTATTTTGTGTAAGCTTTAGCCTGGACATCAGCTTTCTGCAGTAAATGCAATTTGTCCAGTTATATTTTGTTACACCATCGTTGCATGGATGCAATCTTGTTTTGTTTTTTTTATCTTATGGATCTTACTTGTGTATTTTGTTAAAAAAAAAAAAATCATGATGCTCATTGAACTGACAAACTGGTGCTTGTTACATTTGAAATCATAGCAGTATCTAAATACCACACATATAAACACAATCCGGCAAATACAAATAAATTCAATGCTTTTTTTAATGCTACATCTTCATTTCAATATAATAGCAAGTCAAAATAAAGATAAGAAAAACTTACTCCTACACTGAAAGCTTTTTTTTTTTTCAGGTTCCGTAACATATTTTTCTCCATTTCATGTCATTCCAGGTGTTCCGACATGCGCCCTGGTATTTGTGTCAGCTTCCTCTTCATCCTGCTGCTTGGTAAAGGTTGGTTCATATGTTAGTGCTATATTTAGTTTCACTGGTGTTCAAAGCCTGTAATGATGGTTTAATGCACTGTTTGTTACCCACCGATAAAAAGATGAAAGCAAAAAGGAATGTTTGTGCCCATGACTGAGTTTGTGTCCTTTAGCAAAATATCTTACTACCCACAGGCTCGACTTTGATGAAACTTTCAGAAAGTAATCGGTGAATATATATCTACAACTCTTTAGCTTTTGGAATCAACCTAATTCAACAAGGCCGCCACATCTAACTGAAATTAAAAAAACACTATAATTACTCTAATTCAATCTTTTTTTTTTTTAAATATTGAGCTCAAGTTTGGTGTGGTAGTAGCTGAGAGTTATTCCTAAACTCATATTTTAATTGCTTCACAATTCACAACATATTTGCTTAAAACATGGACAATAACCATTGGAGTCATCACAGTTTGTCTGTTAGCAAAATATCCTTTGACCCCCTAAACAGATTTGATTGAAACTTACAGAAAGTAATCATTGGATGTACATCTACAACTGATAACCTTTTGGCATTAAACCAATCCAAGATGGCCACCACTGCTAGCTGACTTTACTGTAAACAACAGTGTTTTTAACTTATTTTTGAAGATATTGAGCTAAAATTGAAAGTGGTAATAGCTGGAAGTCATCCCCAAAATATAATCAGAGCACTGATACATTGCACATTTTTTTAAAGGTTCTGCTCTAACTCCCTCATCTCAAAATTCAGATGTTCTTATTTTAAAACTTTAGCTTGAAAGGAAGCGGGCGACATGCATTCCTTCAAGTTACACAAGGCCTTTAAGTTGAAATGTTTTCCATCTGCAGACCTGTTTCCACAACAAAAATATTCATTAAACATATTTTAAAACAGGATGCAGTAATCTGCAGCCAAACACTGAGTCAGCATGCCCTGAGCATTCCTGTGCCATCATGGAGGACTTACAGGGAGAGCAGAGACCACAAAGGATGGTCCCCATTTCCTTTGGTTCGCCTAAAGAATGAAATGACATTCCTTTATCAGCTCGTAAGATTCTTTTTCTTTGTTTCCTCAGTCTTTCCTAAATTAATTCTGGCACAAAGAAGATGATTTCAAGATTTTGCTTTTCTGTTGTTTTTTTGTTTGCATGGCATAGTTTTATTGTGGGTTTAGGATGCAACAAATAAAATGTCTTGCTGACGTGTGCATCGTGTTTGATTTATACAAGTGTTTCTCCACATGGTGCTGTATTTAGCATGAAGTTTCTTCTGGTTTGTCTGAAACTTAAATGTTAACGTTGTTGGGGAAAAAAATTCTCATATAAATTTTCATCTTACACGTGTCACTTCCCTAGTGTCACATTTTTGCTCCTAGTTTTTCATTAGCGAACTCTTCACAGTCTCCTTGTAAAAGACACAACTTTACAGTGTGCCTGTCTGTTTTAAACAAATCCAAAAATTTGTTGACACAAAAAAAGTTAATAAATCACGTTAACTTTGAAATTACGGCTGGCTGAGCACTAAGACAGCACAAGTTCTGACTGTCTTTTAAGTTTTGATCTAAATTTGTTCTTACTTTATAGCCCCTCCTCTGACTTGTTGAGTTCCACAAGGCTCCATCTTAGGTCCACTGCTATTCTTTTCATACATGTTGCTTTTTTGGTGTCCATTTTTAAGAAACAAAATATTTATCCAGTTTTGATGATATCCATGTCCGTCTGGGGTGGCTGTGGCTGAGTGGTTAGAGCAGTCCTCCAATGTAAGAGTTGGGGTTAAATTCCACCAGCAGTCACATGCCGAAGTGTCCCTGGGCAAGACACTGAACCCCTCATTGCCTCCGATGTGTGTCCCACCGGTGTATGAATGTGATAAAGTACTGATTATTCTTTGTAAAGATCTAGCAGAGTGCTGTATGAATGGGTAAATGAGGGCACAGATTGTAGTGTAAAGCACTTTGAGTATCTTGATAAGATCGAAAGGCGCAATATAAGTACTGTCCATTTCACCATGTCTAGCTGCACATTAGTTTTCCACTTAAACCATTAAAATGTTTAAATGATATTACAACCTGAATGAAGTTAGTTTTTTAATCCTAATAAAAAATAGAATAAATTATTAAAATTCAAAAGTATTATATGTTAAAGCTATTACCTTATTTTCTCTGCTTAAAATGTTTTACCTTTACAGCTTGGACTCAGGAGTGTTGGTATTTGCCTGAGGAAAGAGGCGTGAGTTGTGTGGAAATATAATCTTTTAAGTAGTTTTTTTTTTTATGGCAACTTTAACCCCATTTTGAGCGTTTACGATGAATCATTTTAAAACTTTGAACTGAACCAAACTCGACAGTTTGTCCTTGTCAGGAGGCTCCTTCTGACAGCGTAGTTAACATGTTGCAGAACTAAATGTCCATGTAATCCAGTCTGTTAAAATAAATTTTGATGACAGGCAGAGATTTTAATCAGTTTTAAAAATACCACATAAATCTCCTGTTCGTTGCAAAACAAACATCAACCTCACGAGACTAATTTAGGCTCATTTTTTTAACTTGTTCCTTATTGTAATTATTTTCTTCTTAAAGACAGATTTTCATTTTGCTTTAAGAACCTGACTTAAAGTTTTTGTTTAGAGCTGGGGCCCCACTGGAGAGGAAAAACCTGGTGTCAGAGGCCCCGAATCTTTGACTTGGAAGAGAACTTTGAGGCTGGAATGATGTTGGAATCAGGGCAGATGAGCAGGTCAGGGATCTGGAAAGGTCAAAGTTCAGACTCCTGGTTTGCAGGTGGTGCTTCTCTCTGATTAGTAGTGTTCGCCTTTATTTATTTATTTTTCCCCTTCTTTTTTCTTTTTTCTTTTCTTTTTCCCCCCTAGTGTTCTCCTTTAACTTGATGACTGAAAGGACTTTGAAAAGACTAGATTGCCATGAGCACTTACTGTAGGTGTGGAAAATAAGACGCCTTTATTTTTCCAGGGCTGTCATCATTTTTGTCTAAATGTTTTTGATCAACCTTTTTGGTGTAAATCTATAATAATATGTCCTGTAGTTTCATTTTTTTCCCTGTCTTTGTCAGTGTTCATTGTTTTGTGTTTTGCTCCTGTGTGATACCTTTTTTATCTACTAGTAAAATTAAATTTTTTTTAACCCAATTTACAAACTTCATTAGAGTTTAGACTTTAAAATACCACCCTGTGCCAAACGCAGAGTTAATATTTCACTTTACGTTTTGCAACTGAACATTGTTAGACTGTTATGGATGCTAATAGTCTTTAGTTTTGCATACGTAATCCTAATTCTGAAAAACCTGAGACGTTGTGTAAAATGAAAATTAAACCTGAGCACGATGATTTGCCAATCTTGCAAAGCTTTATTTATTTCACAAAACTTTAAGCATTTGACATGTTTACTAAGAAGTAGTCATTTCTCTTGCCAAAACTTATATTTATTTTAAGGCACTAATGCATGCCTATACCATCAGAGAGGCAGCCTTTTGAACTACCCACTAACAACAGGCTGGATTGTTCCTCTCCTCTTTAGCACGTGAAAGAATGTGGCATCTGCGATTTTCAAAAATTTAAGTGTTTTAATTCAGTGCAGCGTTTTGGCCCAAAGATCACGGACATCCAGTATTGATTTGCAGCCTTGTCTTTTGAGCTCAGACATTTCTCCAGATTCTTGAAATCTTGTGATGGTCTCTGGTTTTTGACGTTTTATCTCCTACAGTTGGACAGCCTCAAGCATTGCAGCAAATTTCTACATGAGTCCTGGTTGACGAGACATGTTTAATTGTGTGTGTTTCTGTGTTAGACAAATGCCTGTGTGATCTGCTGCGGTTGCCAGGGGCAACAAAGGCTTGTTCCCAATAAATCATGTCATCCCCGCCTTGTCCGCTCCACTCTCCCTGCGCCCAAAAAGAAGAATGTCCTTTCAGCGAATGGAGCAAAAGAATGTTTTTCCTCACTTGTCTATTCACATTAGCTAGATTAGCTTAGATTAGTCAATTATGCATCGCATGTTGAGCCAAGTGCTCCGCCAGCCTAATGAAAAGTGTCTCATTATTTGTTCTGATTTAATTTTTAAAAAGACATAATAATAATAATAACATAAAGAAGGACTGTGTTACCTAAGCTTTATTAGCTTTGCAGAAATATTTAAAAGTATTCAGACTATTTAAGTTCACAATAATATGAAGGTTGCATTCCTTGAATGAATGATTAGCCCCCATGACTTACTTGTCAACATTTTAATGAAAAAAAAACTCACAGTCTATTAGAGCTTAGAATATGTGTTTAGAATCACTCTCTGCTATCACCACACCAACGTTTAGCTCAGTATTTAGAAACCTTCTTACGTTAGAGCCAGTTTTGTGTTTCCTAAGGTTGACCAACAGGGTTGACTCCAACAGAAGGTCCTAAAGATTAAAGCATATATAGCAGTATAGAAATATACATGGCTAGAGGAACGTCACTTCCTGTTAAGTGACATAGAGTATAAAAGGAGGCAGTAATGCTTGTTCTGGCACCTGTTTTCCTCTTGCTCCCAATACGTGGCTCGCAACCCGTGTGGGATTTGGTTGTGGCTGAGCAGCAGATCGTGTTGTGCATGCTGTTCTGGCCTTCATGGGGTGAACGCCAAGCTTGTTGCCTTTCTCCTCCTCCTGTGTGTGTGAGTCTGCATGTGTGTGTCAGCAGGTCCTTTGCTGAAGTTGGGACCACTGCTGTTTTGTCTCCACTGGGGTTACAACTGTTTATCTCTATGGAAGACTACCATTGCTCTGTCTCTGTGGAAGACTACTGCTGTTTGAGTTCTCCAGATTATTGCATTTAATTGTCTCCAGACACCTGTGGCTGCTTCACAGGACTCCTCCACGCGCCGATTGTTTGGGGCACGGTCCCTGAGCACTCGTATCAGTGTCGTGGTTAATTAGCCACACACCTGGGTGTGGACTTTTAAAATGAGCATTTGATTTGTTAAAGTTCTATGTTTTTTTTTTTTTTTTAATACAGTGCAGTTTTACCTATTTTGTTTGTTTACAGCCCATTTACTTTGTGTATAATTTAGATATATTTTATATATATATTTTTGGTAAGTTATTTGATGTATAGTCAAATTACTATATTTGTAATTTGCTTATTTTAATTTTCTTTTTGATTAGACTTAGTTTAGTGATTGCCCTTTATTAATTTTCTTTTCTTTTCCAGTTGCTGGGGTCCGGGGCCGTGCTGGTTTGGTAACCTCAGCTCCTGGGTTTTGTTCAGTACCTTTTTTTTGTTCATAGGATTTTAGAAAGTATTTAAAAAGTGTTTTTAAAAAGAAGTATTTATAAATAAAAATGGGAATTAATAAATTGTTTTCTAAATTTGCACGCCTGTCTCAGATGTCCTAAGTATTTTTGTAAGATCTATGAACTGGTGTGCCTTGTAAATCGCATAATTTTAATGAGCTCCACTCGGTCCCACCACATTTGTGGCGTTGTTGGTTGGGCTTGGTACCACCACACATAGATCTCACACATGAGTAGAGTATATGTTGTGAATGACTCTCAGCTACAACTATATCAGACTTTAACTAAATAGCTGTAAAGTTGGCTGAAATATAGCCATTTTGTCTTTTTCTTTTTCAGGTCAGTTGGCTGTCATGTTAATTAGTTCTGGTTCCAGAAATTAATCAGCTGTAGATGTATCTTCATTGAATCTTTCCTGAAAGTTTCCTTAAAATGCATCCAGGGGTTCAAGAGAGTTTTCGCTAACAGACAAATGCTCACAGACAATTATGTAAGCGCCCACTTATTATGGTGGTAACGTCCAAAAATGGTGAATAATTTAGATGACTCAGGTCATATTTATTTATCTTTGGATTTTTTAAATAAACTAGACCAAAGTTGAAAACCACTAAACACTTTTTAATAGAAAAAAATTGTATGAATGTTTTTTTTTAATAACTGTATGGTGTTTAGGTAAAGCCTGGTTTCTGCTATTGTCATAGCTTGATCCTATAGAGTTATTGCACTGCACTTTATGTATTTTGTCCCTCCTAGTTCAGCATGGCACCTCTGTGCAGGAGCTCAAAACCAGCCAGGGCAACATTGGAAAGATCAACTCTGCAGCTGAAAGTGAGTATCTTTTAAAAATGATTGAAATAAAAAGGGTTAAATTAATGGTAAATAAAAAAAGTTAAATATTATGATGAGAAAATGCGAAACACTAATTAGAATCATGAATTGTGGTAGACAGGACTCAAACGTAGACAAGACACTGAAAACAGAAATGTGATGAAGTTCAAAGCGTTCAATGAAGATCAAACTTGACAAAAGACGGCAAGGTACAACAAGAAGCTAAAAACATAATTTGGCAAAATCAACGAGATGTGTGGAAACTTAAGATCTGACATTGCAACAAGATGTTGAACCATGACCCAATGTTACTTAAAGACCCTTTGGTGGACAATACTTTGACACCCAAACTTAATCCCCTCTTATGTCGCCAGTTTTTCTTTCCAGTTCCTGCAGCCTGTCAAAGTGTCCTTGGGCATCACTAATACTATACCTCCACTCTCTACTGACATGCTAATGCCTCTACAGAGAAAACCTACCAATAAGAACCAGCAGGAACAATCAAAATCCTGTAGTTGTGGCTAACTGGTAAAGTTAACTAGAAAAAAGGTTCACACTGCGAATAAAACAAAAACTGACAGGCCAGCTAAAATTAACAAAACAAAAGAGAGACCCCTCAGATGATTATACAAAAGGCCTCTGCTGTCCTTCCTGTAACCTGAACCCAAAATCAGAAAAACACGAAAGCAGCTCTATCAGTCAAATTGAGGAAAAAAGAAACCTGTAGAAGTATATATAACACAGAAAAAAGGAAACTACTGTATAGCAAACATTCCCAACAAAGAGTCGCACCACAAGGCTTGGAGAGAGATAAACAAACCTCAGCTTCCTTTCTCATCGTTATAATTAGACTTGAGGTGAGTCAACTGGAAAAGGGTGGAATTCTCCCTCTGGGTTGGAGGGTGAGTTTCTGCTACAAGTATAGGAGATCAAGTACCTGGGAGTCTTGTTCATGAGTGATGGTAGAATGGACGGGGAGATTAATCAATGAATCTCAACCATGACCACAACAATGAGAATGCTGCTCCGGTCTGTTATGGCAAAGAAGAAGCTAAATTGAAAAAGTGCTGAATGTACTGGTCATCTATGTTTCAAGCCAACTTGTGGTCATTGGACATGGAACACGAAAGAAAGAATGAGATCCCACAGGTTCAGACATCTGATTAGGATGCTTCCTGGGTGACTTCCTCCAGAAGTTTTCCTGGTATGTCCCACGAGAAGGAGATCTGGTGGCAGAACAAGGGATAAATATCCCCTCTGGTTTGGTCTGATATACATGAGGGAAAAAAAAACAAGATTCATCAGCACATTCTGAAGGTTAAAAAAAACAACAAAAAAAAACCTCATATTTGGAGCTACACCAGAAAACAAGTAAATATGTCATAGTAAAAAGCCAAAAACCTTCATAGGTACCTAAAACTGAACGACACAGCTCAAAACTGATGTGTGGCTTTAACTTTATTGTGTGTGCTTCTTAGAAAAAGAAGGAAAAAAAAGAGCAACTTGGTATGCAACTTTTTTATTTCCTTCTATTTACTGTGCGAGATAGTCCTGGTAAAATGCAGGAAAAACAGTTACTGAGTCTGCATCCAAGTGTTTGTGTGTGTTTCCATGGGAAGTGATGCAGTGCTCGGCAGTCATGGATATCCTCTTTCTCGTGGATGGCTCCTACAGCATAGGGAAGGGCAGCTTTGAACGGTCCAAACACTACGCATTCAAGTTGTGTCAAGCGCTAGACATTGGGCCAGACAAGGTCAGTTTTCCTTTTTAATCTGCTGTTTACATCATGTCGACCAGCACACTAGTAATTCTGGCTTTGTTCAGGTGCGAGTAGGTTTGGTTCAGTTTAGCTCCAGTCTTCGGCTCGAGTTTTCCTTGGACTCTTACTCCACCAAACAGGAGCTGAAGAAACACATAAAAAAGGTTTCCTACAGGTGTGTATTTCCCTTCATTTTGCTCACAACAAACAAATGCCTTTGAAAAAACGTGGGTCAGATAAGCCACAGTCACCTCTCATTTTGTCTCACACCTTTTGTTACATTTAAAGCCTTAGTTATACACTGACTTCATGCACTTAAACAACAGTAAACACTAACTGCACCTTGGACTGGAAATCAAATTAATTCAGATTAGTGGTGCACTGTGTGTGGTCATTGGATACTGGATTAGTGCAAAAGCTAAAGAGAAAAGCAATTTCACCTTGAAGTTTGTGCCAAACTGTGGTTCAAAAGATGGGTAATACTAGTTGAATTCCAAAGTAGCTTAATGGGAGTATCCACATTTGAAAAGGCCAGTCATGCTGCCCTGAATCTAATTGGATTGGAATAAGTAGTGGGTCAATGTGTATATGTTTACCTCAAGTTTAAAATATGTATAAGTTACTTTGTTTATTTAATTTATTCTTCTTTTTTCGGCTTTTCCCTCTTCAGGGGTCACCACAGTGATTCTTCCTCCTCCATCTCACTCTGTCCTCACTCCAACTACCATGTGCTCTCTAACTGCATCCATATATCTACTCTTTGGCCTTCCTTTTTGTCTTTTTTCTTGGCAGTTGCATTTGTAACATCCTTCTACCAATATACACATTGTCCCTTCTCTGGACATGCCCAAACCATTTCAGTCTGGCCTCTCTAACTTTTAACTCTCAGTTGTTCAACCTGTGCTGTACCTCTGATTATGTTATTTCTAATCTTATCCATTCTTATCACTCCTAAGGAGAACCTCAACATCTTCATTTCTGCCACTTCTAGTTTTTTCCTCCTGTCTTTTTGTCAGTCCCACTGTCTCTAGATCATATAACATATCTGGTCTCAACTGTCTTGTAAACTTTTCCTTTGACCTTTACACCATTTTGTCACAAATCACTCCTGAAACTTTTCTCCATCCACTCCATCCTGTCTGGACTCTCTTTTTCACCTCTTTACCATATTCCCAATTTTACTGGACAGTGGACCCCAAGTACTTGAAGTCCTGCACCTTTGTGATATCCGCTCCTTGTAGCCTCACTGTTCCACCGGCCTCCCTCTCATTCACACACATGTACTCTGTCTTACTATGGCTGACTTTCATTCCTCTTCTTTCAAGTGCATACCTCCACCTCTCCAAGTTCTCGTCCACCTGTTCCCTTCTCTCATCACAGATCACAATGTCATCTGCAAACATCATAGTCCATGGGGATTCCTGCCTGACCTCATCTGTTAGTCGGTCCATCACCAGAGCAAACAAGAAGGGGCTCGGAGCCGATCCTTGATGCAATCCCACCTCCACCTTGAAGCTATCTGTCACTCCTACAGGACACCTCACCACTGTCATGTTGTCCTCATGCATGTCCTTTACCAGTCTAACATACTTCTCTGCCATTTCAGATATTCTCACGTAATACCACACTTTCTCCTTTGGCACACTGTCATATGTTTTTTCTAAATCCACAAACAATGGCCTTCTCTGTACTTCTCCAACAGCATTCTCAAAGCAAAAACAACATCTGTTGTGCTCTTTCTTGGCATGAAACCATACTGCTGCTCACAGATAGTCATCTCTCATCTAAGTCTTGCTTCCACAACTCTCTCCCAGATCTTCTTCGTGTGACTCATCAACTTAATTCCCCTGTAGTTGCTACAACTCTGCATCACCCTTGCTCTGAAAAATGGGCACCAGCACACTTCTTCTCCATTCCTGAGGCATTTTCTCACCCTCAAATATGCCATTGAATATTTGAGTCAAAAACCTCACTGCCATCTCTCCAAGACATTTCCAAACTTCCACTGGTATGTCATCAGGTCATATTGTCTTTCCCTTCTTTATTCTTTTCAGAGCTTTCCGGACTTCACCCTCACTAATCTTTCCCACTTCCTGGTCCACAGTTTCTATGACCTTGTCTTTCTCTTTCATTCTCTTCTTTCATTAGCTCCTCAAAGTACTCCTTTCATCTTCCAATCACACTCTCTTCACTTATTAGAACATTACACTCCATATCTTTAAGAAGCCAAGCCTGCTGCACATCCTTTCCAGCTTGATCCCTCTGTCTCGCCAATCGGTACAAGTTCTTCTGGCCCTCAGTGTCCAGCCTCCCATACAACTCATAATCGTTTTGCCTTTGCTACCTCCTTCTTTGTTCTACGTTCCATCTCCTTATATTCATGTCTCCTCTCTTCAGTCCTCTTACTGTCATATTTCTTCTTGGCTAACCTTTTTCTCTGAATAGTGTCCTGCACTTCACTATTCCACCACCAGGTTTCCTTATAATCCATTCTCTGTCCAGATGACACACCAAGTACCTTCTTACCTGTCTCTCTAATTTTTGTTGCTGTAGTAGCACAGTCATTTGGAAGCTCTTTCTTACTACCCAGAGCCTTTAATAGCTCCTCTCTGATTTTCTCACAACATTCTTCTTTTATCAGCTTCCACCATTTGGTCTTCTTCTCTGATTTTACTCTTTCTCTTCACAACAACAGTCATTCTTCACACAACCATTTGATGCTGTCTGACCATGCTCTCCCCTGCCACAACCTTACAGTCCCCAATCTCCCTCAGGTTTCCTCTTCTACACAGAATGTAGTCGACCTGCGTAGTCCTTCCTCCACTCTTATAGATCACTATGTTCCTCCCTCTTTTGGAAATAGGTATTGACTATAGCCATTTCCATTCTCTTGGCAAAATCCACCACCATCTGTCCTTCCTGGTTTCTTTCTTTGACACCAAACCTACCCATCACTTCCTCATCCCCTCTGTTTCTTTCACCAGAATATCCATTCAGGTCTGCTTCGATCACGATTCTCTCCTCCCGGGAATACTCTATTACTTCATCAAGATCATTCATAAATTTATGTTTATCCTCTACATCACATCCAACCTGTGGAGCATAACTGCTGACAACATTTAGCATCAGATATTTTACTTCTACCTTCAGAAACATCACCTTGTCTGACACTCTCTTCACCTCTACTACATTATTTTCCGACTCCTCCTTCAGGATCACCCCTACTCCATTTTTTTTTCTATCCACACCATGGTAAAACAGTTTGAACCCTGCTCCAATGCTGCCAGCCTTGCTGCTCTTCCACTTGGTCTCTTGGACACACAAAACATCTACCTTCCTTCTCTGCATCATGTCAGCCATCTCTACTTTTGCATGTCAATGTCCCCACATTTAGAGTTTCCACCCTCGGTCCTAAATTCTTGACTTTCCTCTTCTCCCCCTGTCTCCTGACACATATCCATCCTCATGGTCTTTGACTAAACTATGTACAATTTTCAATTAAAATTATTCTACATGGTTATAGTACTTGTTCTTTATCTTTATTGTGTGCTAATATAGCTAAATAAAAGTTTTTGACCTGTCTCTGATGTATAGATGCATGAACTGAGAAATATGATGCTACAACTTTCATTTTGGCAAGTTGGCATCTAATTGTAAGCCATGAGATACTGTTTTGTCTGTGATATTCCACAAAATATGTAATTTGAAAAGAAATTACATATTAGGGACCTTCAACATTTTATGATGATTCTTCTAAAACTGTGAAAAATCCTTTTCCTAACTCCTCTCACAGGGGAGGCAGCACCCAGACAGGCCTGGCTCTGAAATTTATCCTGAGGAAGGGTTTTCCAGGGGGCCGTAACTCCTCCAGTGTCCCTCGCATCGCCATCCTCCTGTCGGATGGGAAGTCTCAGGGCAAAGTGGTCCAAGCAGCCGCACAGCTAAAAGAGAGTGGTGTGGTCTTGTTTGCTATCGGCTTGCGATACCCAAAGTACGACTTATGGTTGTTAAGTATTAGTTGTTAGTTGTAATAGATGTATTTACACAGGGAAAAAAAATCCTTAAACTCTTTTATTTGCAGGTGGGAGGAACTTCACTCTCTTGCCAGTGAACCAACTGAAAGTCATGTCTTCTTTGCCGAGCACTTCCAGGATGCCATCAATGGTCTGTACACGACACTGAGCACTTTCCTGGTCTGCAATGCAACACCTGCAGGTTAGTGTCTTTAATGTCTTCAATGTAGTTACAACTACATCTGATGCTAATTATCCAATCTCAGACATGTGCCTCATAAAATCATTCTGGATCTGACACTGCCTCCTCTCTGAGATCTTAGTTTTGACTTGCTCTGTCCGACCTAAGATATGTCCATCATCCTTCAAGTTCCCCATCTTTCTAACACCAGTCCCAACAGTTCTTCCCTGTCCTCCACAGGCTGTATGATGGAATCATTCCCTTGTGAGAGGAAAACATTAGAGACCGTGAAGGAGCTGCAAGGGAATTTCATGTGCTGGAAAAGCTCGAAGGGTTATTCCCCATACGCATCTCTCTGTCCTTACTACAGGCAAGTGTGCATGAAACCTTTCTCCTTAAAAACACAGGAAGTGTACTGCTGTTTGATGTTTTTTTTTCTACACGATAATTATGGTCTTCATTATTTTGATTAATTCTGTTGGTCTGACAGTTGCCATGCAGGAGAAAGAAAGATAAATCTTTCAGAAGAACATCTTCATTCTATAAACTTTTAATCTTCTGAGATCAAACATCCAAACAATGCTTCTTCCCTATTTATTGATTGGTCAAAACTAATTTTTATTGTTATGGATTATTTACTTTTCCTGTCATGTCTGAATGAAGGCTCTTCCCAGTGAATTGAAAATGCCAAACTGCAAGACAGTTGTTTAGCAACAGAAAGGACAGGATGGGGTTTGGCATCTTGCCCAAGGGTGCTTTGGCACAAGAGATCATCTGAGTCCAACTCTAGCTTAGACAACACTAAGCTAGGAGTCTTGAGATGATCTTCACAAATCAAAGAGAGATGAAAAATAATCCTAATAGCAAGTTTTCACTATAACTGTTACAAAAGCTTAAAACAACAGTCATAAATAGGCCTGGTGCGATAAACAATAAATCGATTAATCGCATGATAAATGAAAATTATCAACCTAACTTTCATTTATTGGCTTTATTGTTTCTTTGTGTCTCTCTTTTTACTGAAGACACTGGATGACAAGGCTCAACTCCGGTGCTCTTCACTGACCCCTCTCATTCTCTTTTTTTCTTTAAAATCCATTTTAACTGTCCAATATCACATTTTGGGATCGTTAAAAGCAGCTAAGCTGAGACGCTAAGCTACGAGCTAAGCTAACAGGCCAACCTCGGGGAAAAAACCTCCGTCTTGTCAAAGCTCCTAAAATTCACGGTTGAAATCCGTGCCTTTGTGTAAAAAGTTGTTTTTCTCTGCAAAAAGAAGCTGAGAACTTGTTTACTGATTTTTTTTTATTAAAAGCTTTGTGTGAAAAATGCTATGCTAAAGAGCTCAAACCGCACCAAGCATCCGCCATTTTGAGAATGGAAAAACAGGAACAAGATCCAGCCCATGTCACGTCAAGGGGCCTCCCTCCCATTTTCTTAAAGAGACACACTGCTCGCTCCCTCACTATCCGTCCTTCGGTTTAAACAGTTTTATACTGTCATCCTTGCAATACAAATTAACAAACATTTAATTTTAAATTTGACAGTAATTACAAATTACTGCCAAATTTCAAACAATATTATCGTTTATCGCAATAATTTCTGAGAAAATTAATCGCCCATCAAAATTTGTTATCGTGACAGGCCTAGTCATAAATGACAAAAAATAGAACATTACAAAATAAAGCTGCTTGCTTATTTAGCTTTTAAACTATGTTTGTGTAATATTTGGGCTTGAAAATTTTTATCTGAAATGTTAGGAAGTCACTGCAACATAGAATTTGTTCTTGTGCAGGATTAGTGTATCTTCATATTAAATAATAACAAAAAAATGTGTTAAAAACACACTAGTGTAGTTCTGTAATGCTCTCTTGGGGAAATAAAAACTATAAACGGGTTTTAGCTAAATTAATTTGTACAGAACACTATTGGAGACCCACTACACTGCAGGTAAAATTAACTTTTGCATAGAGGAAGAAAATGTCCAGTTCTTCTCAGAGCTTTCAAACCAACAAACAGTAAAGAGTACAATTAGAACAGCACTTAACTTATTTCTACTCAGTTTTGACAAAAACCTACATCCTGCCATTCCTGATGCTGTTAAAATAAAAGTCTTGTTTGTACCCATTTTTTCAGGTACAGGAAGGTTTTCAAGAGACACCCCTCAGTCTGTCATAGAACTATTTGTCCAGGTGATAACCCCCCTCACAAAATGTTAATTTACTTATTTTCAGTGTAGTATGACAACTTGTTTTACCTTGTTTCTTCCTCCTTATTAGATCCCTGCGACTCTCAGCCCTGTCTGAATGGTGGAACGTGTGTGTCAGAAGGTCCAGAGGGTTACAGCTGTGTGTGCTCACCTGGCTACGGAGGAGACCCTCACTGCGGTCTGTTCATTCATCGACTGCATGTAAGATGATGTCTAACACTGTAGAAAGCAAATTAACGTAACCCTTTATCTTTCAGCTCCTGCGTTATCGTTGGACTGTTCTGTGGATTTACTCTTCCTGCTAGAGGGCTCTGCTGCGCTCACGTTAGAAGGCTTCCTGCGCCTCAAGTCTTTCTTAAAGCGCTTCTTGCAGATGGTCATTGGGTATGACAGCCCCAGTAAAGTCGGCCTGGCTGTGTTTGGTGGAGAGACTCGAGTAGAGGCCCAGGTTGGTACGTTGAAAGGAGACCTGAGGGCACTTCTTAAGGCTGTGGATTCACTTCAACCTCCCGGTGGTCAAACCCTGACAGGCAAGGCACTCCGCCACGTGACCCACCATGGCTTTGTAAGCCAGCCGGTCTTTGCTGACGTCTCAGATGACCTTCCTCGCGTTGTGGTGTTGCTCACTTCCACTCCTGCTGCAGATAATGTGATCGAGGCCTCTAAATATGCACGAGATAGAGAGACCTTCCTGATCGGGGTGGGACCCGATGGCTTCAAGGGGAAACTGAATAATATAACAGGAAATCCTCATAGGACTCTCACATATTCATCACCTGATAGGCTTATTGAGAAGATACCTGAGCTGAAGGCCAAGATCTGCAGCGTGGATACACAAGGTACTAACCGCGTCTTAACAAAAACTTTGTATTTCTATGTACATATACATTCGTTGTTAAAATCTCAACATATTTGCCAAAAATATGTTTCTAGTCGTTAATTTAAAACTAGTATTTTTCCATAATGTATTTGCTGGTACATTGCTGCCACCTTTTGGCAGAAAAGTACAGTTAGAGCCTGAACCCCTTTGTGAAATGACCATAAACCACAAAATGCATTTTATCTTAACAGAAGTTTAAAACCATGAACAAAAAAAAATCTGTTTATTGTTACATACCAATATGGTAATATACGATAGGTTCCTAGACGATCCTTATTATATAAAATGTTACTTAAATGTTTGTAAACCCTTTGGAATATTTCCTGCATAACCTACCGTATTTTTCAGACTATAAGGCGCAATATCAATGAATGGGTCTGTTTCCATACATAAGACGCACCGGATTATGAGGTGCATTAAGCGAAACTAAAACATTGTGACAGATTTTTGAGCGCCGTGTACCACTTAAAATCGGTTCAAGGTCAGTAAGCACAACTAGGCCTGTCGCGATAAACAATAAATTAATCGCATGATGAATGAAAATTATCGACCTAATTTTCATTTACCGGCTTTATCATTTCTTTGTGTCTCTTCTTTCTACTGAAGACACTGGATGACAAAAAGCTCAACTCTGGTGCTCTTCACTGACCCCTCCCTTTCTCTTTAAAATCTGTTTTAACAATCCAAAATCACGTTTTTGGATTGTTAAAAGCAGCTAAGCTGAGAAGCTAAGTTACGAGCTTAGCTAACAGGCCGACCTCGGGAAAAAATGTCCATCTTGTCAAAGCTCCAAAATTCACAGTTGAAACCTGTGCCTTCGTGTAAAAAGTTGTTTTTCTCTGCAAAAAGAAGCTGAGGACTTATTTACTGATTTTTTTAATTAAAAGCTTTGTCTGAAAAATGCTATGCTAAAGAGCTGAAATCACCGAGTGCTACGTCACCATGTCAGCCCATGTCACGTCAAGGGCCCTCCCTCCCATTTTTCTTAGAGAAACGCTGCTCAACTATCCATCCTTTGGTTCAAACAGTCTTATACTGCCATCAGGTGGTCAAAAAATATACTACACTCCAAACAAATCAACATTTCTTCTACAATTTGACAATTATTGTTAAATTTCAAACAATATTATCGTTTATCACAATAATTTCTGAGAGAATTAATTGCCCAAAATTTGTTATCGTGACAGGCCTAAGCACAACCAGAATTATTACATAAAGTGATTATAAGGCTCCCTGTTGATTTTTGAGAAAATTAAAGGATTTTAAGTGTGCCTTATAGTCCAAATGATACGGTAATCTTGTTTTTACACAATGTATTTAAGTACATCAGGAAAACCTAAATAATCAGACAAAATGTTACACCAGATTTTTTTTATTTATTTAATTTTTTAGTAAATTAAATAGAAAATCTGAAAGGTCTGAGCTTTAAAACATCATATTGATTTTGTCTCATCTGTTCACCATCAGGATGACACCGAGTAAATATGTTGCAGCTGGCAGGGCTACAAAACGAAATTCCTTTTTCTCTTAAAAGAACAGCTACAGTTTGCCAAAGATCACAAGGACAAGCCAAGAAGTCTGGGGAAAATAAAGTGTTGTCAGAGAATGTTATCAAATAGACATTATTTATTGATTAGAAGCAAGTCATTTTTGTAAAAACAATAAAAGAGAGAGAGAGGGGAAACCTAAATTTAAGCATAAGAAACCAATTCTAACTCTAAAGTACAGTCCAACAATTTTCAGTCCGGTCATCTGGACAGTTTATTTTTTTGCTGAAACGTTTCACCTTCCATCCAGAAGGCTTCATCAGTCAAGGAAACGCAACACAAAACTGATTCTTCCCCCAAACAGCTTACTCCAAAGTGAAACAAACCAGTTATGTTGGTGCTAAGATGGTGTCTTTGGCACGCCCCCTCCTCTCGTGCCGGCCCTCTTCCTCGTAGACAGTCATGTCAAACTGGTTCAAAATCAAAAAGTCCATGCTCAATAATCCAGGTATACAAAGTACAATCCAACAATTTTCTAAAGCACAGTGGGGGTAGTATCATTGTGAATGGGATTTTTCTGCATGGGAATTAGAAATTTATTTTGAGACAAATGTTAGCAGAGCTAATAAATGTCTGGGTTTAATAATAATGCAATCAGTCCTTATTTAAAATCAAAACAAATGCTGTGTATTGTGTTTCAACTGTCCTTTTCAGCTCATAACTCTTTGGATCTAGCAAGAAAAAGTCATTTTAAACACTAGATCTGGTACAAAATAAGCAATAATTCAAGTGTTTGTTTGTTTTCAGGATGTCTGGGTCAGGCAGTGGACCTGGTGATTGCCCTGGATGCCTCAGCTGGTGTAGGCCGTGAGAACTTTGCCACCCTGCAGGACTTCGTGCGCAGCCTCACCGTGCAGTTTGATGTCAACCGCGACTTGGCTCAGGTAGCCCTCATCGCCTACAGCCGGAGGCCTTACACCGTGTTCAGCTTGGACACCCACGAGTCCGGCTCTGCCATCCTCAGCGCGGTAGGTCAGGCCAGCTACATGGGAGGGGTGGCATCCACAGGGTCAGCTCTGCTCCACATCTACTCCAGCGTCCTGACTGTGGCTAACGGCGCGCGGCCGGGAGTCAACAAGGCCGTGGTGGTGGTGACGGACGGCTCAAACGGGGACGATGCTGTGGTGCCGGCTCAAAAGCTAAGAGACAAAGGCGTTTCTGTTTTTGTGGTTGGTATCGGAGACATTCAGAGGGAGAGACTGATGAAGATCGCAGGTTCGGAGGACCGCATGGTCTCTGTGCCGTCTTACGAGGACCTCAAGTACTTTGAAGATGTGCTGGTGCAGATGCTGTGCTCAGGTGATCAAATTCAAATTCAGTTTTGAGTTTTTTCCACCAAACTTGCATGAAACATCGATGCCAATAGATAAGTATAAAAGAGTTTTATATGTTGTGCTTGCCTGGGAATAAAGGTTTGTGATGGTTTTCTTTGGTCAGAGGTGAAGAAGCCTGTAAACCTGTGCAAGCCCAACCCATGCATGCACGATGGGATCTGCATTCTGTCACCAGGGAGCTTCCAGTGTCGGTGCAAAGGCTATGAAGGACCGCACTGCGAACAAAGTGAGGGAACTTCTGCTTTCCTGCCTTTACCCTCTAATTTGATTCTTTTTAGCTCATCTACCTCTCGAGACTTCAAAAGAAAGAATATGACCTTACCTCGGGTTACCTCTTAAGTTCAGCTGCAAGATACTGATGACGATAATAGATATGTTATAGTCAGCTACAATTTGATTGTTGGCTCTAAAACAGCGACTTGATTATTTGTAGTTGTCATATTTTATTTTTTTGTGTTTTATTTTTCAGGAAGTAGTAATACTCCATCTAGAGGGGATGTTCCGAGACCTTCAGGTCTGAGGAAGAAGAGCAGACAAAGGAAGAGCCACCAGGAGCTTCTGCGTCACTATAAACTACACCGTCGGAGGCATGCTGCCTGACACGCACACATGAACAGAGTTAATACACAAACATAAATGAAATATGGACATTACTGAAGAAAGGGTGTTTGGAGAGTACCGTATTTTTCGGACTATAAGGCACTTAAAATACTTTAATTTTCTCAAAAATCGACATCAAGATTTATAATCTGGTACGCCTTATGTATTAATTCTGGTTGACCTCGAATCGATTAATGTGGTTATTGTGAATGGGTTGAATCAAGTTTGACTTATCTGACTGTTTTGTTTCACATAATGCGCCTTATAATCCAATGTTCCTTTTAGTCCAAAAATACAGTAAAGGGAAACATTATTACTGGTTTTATTTGTTGTATTTAAAGTTTTATGCAGTTTTAATGTGTGTAATTATTATTTTTGCTATTTTGTTTCATATTTTCACCAATAAGTCTTATTTTGTTGTAAACTTATGCATTAGTAGACAGTCTTAGTATTTTTGGACATGTACAACTGGATCAGGATGATACAGAATTTGCCAAATTAGGGGAATAAAATTGTAACTACTGATTTTATATGCTTCAAAATGTTTTTTTTTTACTTGATATCTGCAATATAAAACAGGTTGACTATTTCAAAAGACAGTTTGTTTTATCACAATTTTATGTCTACAGGTGCTGGTCATAAAATTAGAATATCATGAAAAAGTTGATTTATTTCAGTAATTCTATTCAAAAAGTGAATCTTTTATATTATATTCATTCATTACACACAGACTGATATACTGTATATCAAATGTTTATTTCTTTTAATGTTGATGATTATAACTGACAACTAATGAAAACTCCAAATTTAGTATCACAGAAAATTAAATATTACTTAAGACCAATAAAAAAAAAGATTTTTAGAAATGTTGGCCAACTGAAAAGTATGAACATGAAAAGTATGAGCATGCACAGCACTCTACTTAGTTGGGGCTCCTTTTGCCTGGATTACTGCAGCAATGCGGCGTGGCATGGAGTCGATCAGTCTGTGGCACTGTTCAGGTGTTATGAGAACCCGGGTTGTTCTGATAGTGGTCTTCAGCTCTTCTGAATTGTTGGGTCTGGTGTATCGCATCTTCCTCTTCACAATACCCCATGGATTTTCTATGGGGATAAGGTCAAGCAAGTTTGCTGGCCAATTAAGAACAGGGACACCATGGTCCTTCAACCAGGTGCTGGTAGCTTTGGCACTGTGTGCAGGTACCAAGTCCTGTTGGAAAATGAACTCTGCATCTCCATAAAGTTGGTCAGCAGCAGGAAGCAGGAAGTGCTCTAAAACTTCCTGGTAGATGGCTATGTTGACCTTGGACCTCAGAAAACAGTGGACCAACACCAGCAGATGACATGGCAACCCAAACCATCTCTGACTGTGGAAACTTGACACTGGACCTCAAGCAACGTGGATTCTGTGCCTCTCCTCTCTTCCTCCAGACTCTGGGACCTTGATTTCCAAAGGAAATGCAAAATTTACTTTCATCAGAGAACATAACTTTGGACCACTCGGCAGCAGTCCCTGGTGAGACGCTTCTGACGCTGTCTCTTGTTCAAGAGTGTCTTGACACAAGGAATGCGACAACTGAAACCTATGTCTTGCATATGTCTGTGCGTGGTGGTTCTTGAAGCACTGACTCCAACTGCAGTTCACTCTTTGTAAATCTCCCCCACTGGAATGGGTTTTGTTTCATAATCCTCTCTAGGTGGCTGTTATTTATTGCTTGTACACTATTTTCTACCACATATTTTCCTTCCCTTCGCCTCTTTATTAATGTGCTTGGACACAGAACGTCCTTGTGCCCATTTAAAAGAACTTCCCGTTCATTTTCACCAAACACAATGAAACATTTAGAGTCAAAAGAAACTGTTATTGAGCTTTTGTTCCATTCAGGATCATTTTATTTGAATAAAAAGTGCAGTTTAGCTAGCAAAACAAGGCAAAAAAGCTGAATAATGGCGTAAACATATTTACATCTTAGCTACCAGCATACAGGAATGGAAAGCTACAATCTAAAATGTACAAAATGGACAATTTAGAAAAGGGGGCTTCTTTCTTTCTTAAACAGGTAGTTCATATGTTTTGCAGCGGGGTTACATGTTTCTGAAAACTTAACATATTACCTGTTTTAGATAGCACTTTGAATGACCTCAGTTTGGACAAATGGTAACTATTTCTGATCTGGTAGTCCCAAACCGGGCCAAGACCAAAGTGAATTATGAAGCGCGTCCTTTAATATCCAGTTTATGCAAACACAGTTTATAAACCATTACATCAACATCATTTTGCATTACATGATTGACAAGCCTCCATTTGGAGCTATGATTTATCAGATCCCCCTTTGAATAACTCTGCCTTTAATTCTTCAAATTGAAGTTGTTCAAAAAGCTCTCTGCAACAGGTAATATATTTATTATTCATACATTTCAACACAACCCCAACCCTAAAGATCTGAACTATCTGTTTAACTTTTAGTGGTTTTGTCATGTTGGGCTGTTTACAACGCTGGCCTGTTCTTTCTGTGCATCTTCCAGCAGCTGTGATGCTGCTACTTCCAATAGTTTTTCCTTTGCGATTAGAGCAAAACAACTCAACAAGTCTTTGTTAAAGAATATCCAGTGGTATCAAGAAGAGACCTCGTGTCTCTGTCCGACTGGCTTGTCTTAGTCTTGGTGCTGAACTGATGAGGCTCCATGGAAGGAGGGTGTCACTGTCTGACACAGATGTAGCGAACAGTGGTACAAAGTTTGCTTCTAGGTGGTGGATTTTTTCTCCCATTCCTTAAAAAAAAGAAACAAGCTTTAATTCAAAATAATCTGCAACTAGACAAATTGCATTTCCTATGGAAATGAGTGAATGCTGAACAACTTGCTGAAAAATAGCTAAAATGAGCTTAAAATCATGCAGAATTTTAGCTGAAAAGGAAGAACAAGCCTAAATTAGCAGAAGAAAGCAGAAAGAAAACATTTGTGCTGAATTATGTTTAAATAAGCAGAAGTGAGCATAGAAATTACGAAATTAGCTTGAAAAATAAAGGGCAGAAATTAGCATAAAAAATAAATGAAAAGTAGCTGAAAAGGCAGAAAGAAGCTTAAGCTACCTAAAGGAAGTGGAAAGAGCTGAAACGAGCTAAAAAAGTGGAATTATGATGATAAATGAGTGAAAAAAATGTAGAATTAGCTGAAAAAGCTCAAATTAGCATAAAACGGCTAAATAGTAGCGGAAATAGTAAAAAAAAAAAAAAAAGCTGAAACTTGCAGAAATGAGCTGAAAGGAGTGTAACAAGCTGAAATTAGTTGAAAGAAGTTAAAAGAAGCACAAAGATGTTGTAGTTAGCAGAAAGAATCAGAAAGGAGCACAAAACAGTTGAAAGTAGCTGAAAAAAGTTAACATTTACGAAGCAGAACAAAATGTGAAAGGAGCAGTTAAAGGTTGTAAACAGATCTAAAGACAAAAATTGTGGAACGAGAGAGTTGCTGAAAAACGTACAGAAGAAAAATGGATCACAATAGTGATCATTCATAAACGTTCACACGGTAATGATGTTCCTCACTCATCTGTGTGAATCATCAGCGTTCAACCTGCCAGGGTGTATGAAATCTAGCCTCACCTTCGCCTTTTGTAAGACTTTGCCTTTCGTGGCCAGGATGGAGGCGGGCCTGGTTTTGAGAGCTGTGGCAGAGTTGACTGGAGAAGCCGGCTCTGCATTGGTGTTGTTGGTTTGGGAAGATGCTGCTGATGCTGCTGATAATGATAGGTGGGGGTTGGGCAAGGTTGCAGCTCTAGTCTAAGAGAGAGACGGTAGAGAGGGTGACGAGGTATGTTTAAATTTATTGACGTCACACTTTCTGTTTAGTCGGCTGAGCACTGAGGGTGTGGAGCAGTAAACCAACCGGTGTGTCCTGGAGGCTGCTGTCCAGGGTGGTCCCCAGAGTGAAAGGCCCCGCCTCCACTTTCTTCAGACTTTCTTTCACTTCCACCAGTCGGAGCTCCACCTCCACCCTGCGGCGCTCTGCCTCTCGACACTCCTCCTCCTTCTTCTTCAGACGGACCTCTAAGATGACTTGACACTTGGGATCTGAAGACAGACAGCTGTCAGTCACTGCTTGTTTACTGCAAACCCCTCTAGTGATGAAGCGCAGACGTACCCTGGCAGGCGTTGAGCTCCTCCTTGGTTTCCCTCCTCACCCTCTTCAGGTTGGCCAGACTGCTCCTCACCTCCTCTCTTTCTTTCTCCAGACAATCTCGCTCGTCTGTGTAGCGTCGCATGTCCGCCTCAGTGCGGTTCTTGCCAAGTTTTATCTCTACAGCACTAGAACTCCCTGAAGAAACAAGAGTTAAAATTATATTTCACAAGCTAAAAATGAAAAGTCTAACATTATTTGAATAAATGCATTTCACCCGCCACCTTTTATGTCTTAGCTTTAGATCATCTGAGAATTAAGTTGAAGTTGTTTAGGTCAAACTTTGAAAATAGCTTAATCTCATGGGATATCAAGATTGTCAAACTCAAAAATATATGCTGGGAATCTCAGCAACTACTACGTCAAATTGTAGCTCAATATCTGTACAAATGACCAGATTATAGCCATTTTTGCATTGGCTAAGTTTGATTAGCTGTGATGCTATTATGAATTGGACTGACTCCTAAAGTCAAACAGTTACAGAAGTACATCTATTGATCATCTTTCGAAAGTTTCATCAAAATCTGCGCAGTGGTTCATGAGAGATTTTGCTAACAGACAAACAGGATTGAGTGCAATACTTAATGCCTAAGTTTTTGGCACAGGTCTTATGCAGTGAGTGTAATTTTGATTATCTGTTGTGATTTAATCTCAGCTACTACCACACTAATTTTTAGCAAGATATCTTTAAAGTTGACAGAGTTATAGTAATTTCTGTGTTTTCTAAAATCAGTTGACTGTGGTGGTTATTTTGAACTGGGTTGGCTCCAAACGTTAAACAATTGTATAAATACATCCATTGATTAAATCCTGAAAGTTTCATTAAAATCTATTCTGTGGTTCACAAGATATTTTGCTAACAGACGGACAGAGTTGACTCCAAATAGTAAACGGTAACATTTGAAATCAAGATTTTGCATTTTCTGGGGATGACTCAACTACTGTCACTCAAAATATTATCTTTTATAAGACACAGCCATTTTTCTGTTTTTCAAGATCACTTGACGGTGGTAGCCATTTTATACTGAATTGACTTCAACAGTCAAAATAGATAGAGCTTTAGTTATGATGTTCAGAGAGTTTCATTACAATCCTTCCATTGGTTCATGAAATATTTTTGTAACAGACTGACACAAACACACACAGACTCAAGAAAAATATAATTTGCATTCTGATGGTGGTCAATAAAAATATTGAACATGATAACTGGAAAGCAAGAACTTTGCAGATCTTTAGTTGTAGAGGAAACTACTTTCCACTAGAGGGAGCTAAAGGAGTAGGATTACTGTCAAGGAAACCCTACTAATGATGCACAATTCTGCTTTAGAAGAAAAACATCTTTAAGTCATGAAGAACGAATCTGCTTTTAATGTCGAGTATAAACACTGTTCATTTGTCCTGAAACAGAATTCAGCAAAGCAGTTGTCCCCATTTACACTCACCTATGGTATGTGCCTTCAGCCGTCCAGATTGCGGACTGTTGGGGAATAAGTTGGCAACAGTCTGAGTTGTTAGGCCCTTAGGGGTTTGCACCCCAGGAGAACCGAGGGCTTGTGGGACTCCAAGACTGAGCCTCTTGGAGCTCTCCTGACTTTGGGACGAGGTCTTGATTAGTTGAGAGTGCAGCTGTGCTTGAGGGTGAGTCGGTGATTGTATGTGCTCTGGCTTGCTTGTGGCAGGGGTTGACGTCGGCCCGTTTAATGCGGGAGCTGGATCTGGCTCGGTGCGACTGGTGGAAACGTCCTGGAACTGAAGCATTTTCAGAAGAACAGTTTTGGTTACCAGCAAGGCAGCATATTGAGTTTTCACCGCAGCAGTGACGTGCATTGATTCGATCCAAGTTTTAGAAGATTTTGTCCAAGCTAGGCTAGTAGTTAGCCAAACAAGAACCTGTTAATTTATTATTTTTCAGGCCTATGAACAACGTGCTTGCCAAAACAACAAACTAGTGTGAAACAACGGTATATTAGCTGATATTAAACCTCTACACGGTTTGTCTCTGTGGGTCTAGGCTTCACACTTGAACATTTGCAAAGTAACACCAACAGTCGGTTGCGAAAACAGCAACAAACTAAACAAACAATGTCACGCTAGAGTGTAACAGTTTCCTATTAGCTATTGTAATACAGCGTTCTTTCACATGGGTATGTAATTTTTGAGAAAGACTTGTTTTATATGCCTGAAAACCATTATGCTCTATGACTAATGTCACCATAAGGCAGTGGTTCCCAACCCTGGTCCCTGAGGAACACCATCCTGCATGTTTTAGCTGTTTCTCTGCTCCAACGCACCTGATTTGAATGAAAAGGTGACGAACAGGCTTCTGCTGAACTTAAGGATGTAATTACCATAAACCACTGAATCAGGTGCGCTGGTGCAGAGAAACAAAAACATGCAGGACTGTGTTCCTCAAGGACCAGTGTTGGAACCACTGCCATAAGGCACTAACGTTTGACAGAGTATCACTTCCAAAATAACCGGACTAGTCCTTGAAGCAAACAATGACCTAACTGACAAAGGTGTTTAAGGACGACTGTTTTAAGTTCATATTGCATTATCAAAACGGCAGAAAGGGGAACAGAAACAAAACGCGTTGCACCTTCATTTCCATATTTTAGTCACGTTCTCCTGAACTGATGTCGCAGTTTATTGCCATCAAAAATGTTTAAGGTGCTTTACAATGTGCTAATATTTAGAGATCACAAGGATCATGGCAAAATATTTGATGGATCTATCTCCTTATTTTGACTCGAATGATCCCGGTGTTCCTCTACATGGACTGGAGATGCACTAGACGTTTCCTTGTGAGGGGAGGTTTTATGTCCACTCACTGGATGGAGGAAGGAGGGCAAAGGAACTAGGTCCAGATAAATTTTGCTTCTGTCTTGTTCTGCATCTGCAGGCTCCTTGGTAAGTTCATTAACCTCCTGGACTTTGTTCTCCTCACGGTTTGGCTCGCTGTTCTCTTCAGCATCCTGTACGATTTTGGAGGAGGATGTTAGTGGTGGAAAACAGCCAGATATTCAAATGAAACTCAAAACAGTACAAATACCACGGGGATTCTTAACTCCTATGCCTACCTCAGGATCAGCTATGGATGCCACATCATCGTACAGCTCATTGGAGTCTTGAGAAATGGAAGGAATGGTGTCTATATATGTATTTGTCTCTGAATACCTCCTTTGCATCAAGCTAGAGACACAGAAATACAAATATTGTTGAAACATGGGGAACAGCTTTCTCTTGGAAACACCCAGGAAAATGACATACTAGAAGGACGTCTTTGCAGCGCTGATGATTGTAGAGATCCTCTCAGCATTGACGTAGTCGTAAGTGAGGTCTTCTGGGTCAGTTTTGGTCCCAGTCTGTGACAACAACAGGCCCAGCCAGTTACCCATATCTGCCGATGTTTTTGCCTGGTTCGGGGGAGGAAGGGAGAGAAAGAATCTGCATTCAGTACAAAGCAAGGTCTTACAACATCCTGAGTTTAAAGCCACATGGGTTTATTTCACATGCCACTCATCACTTTGAATTAATGAGACGATTGCTACAGCGTTATTTCTTATTTCAATCCCCTCCCCCTAAGCGGTGTGCGATGTGCTCGCAGTGTAGGCAAAGGAAGAACTCTGCTAGCTGAGAGTCATTCTGAACTCACAAGTGCTAACACATCCACAAGATCTCGCAATATTGCGCATAAGCTTATTGAAAGGTTAGACCGAAACGGCACGAAGATCGGCGTTCTTTCAAATAATGCTAAGCCTTTATTTATTTAAAGAGTTTTATAGAACTTCTCTATTTGAGCTGTATGGAATTAAACTAGCAGAATAATTTGATTACTCCAGAAAGTTCCTAAATAATATTTCTCGAGACCACTTTTCATCCATCCATTTATTTTCTTTACGATCGATCTTTACTATCCCGTCTCAAGCACTCACTGTAGCAATCGGGTACACCTTAGACTGGACGCGAGTCCATCGCAGGCCCACTTATTCACACACACACCTAGGGACAATTCAGAGTTACCATTTAACCTGACTTGTATGATTTCAGTCTGTGGGAGGAAAAAAAACACGCAGTTTGGAAGAAAAAAAAATAAAAGCAAGGGGAGACCTCAAGACTAAATATTAAATTCCAATGCCTATGACTAAATATGCAGTGCAGCTGGGTGGTACTGAAGGACTAATGAAAAAGGGTGTAGCGTTAGTCTCCAAATCCCCCAAAACATCCACACCCTTCACACTCTCACAAACACACTCTCATGTTCACAGACCACCCTTATGTGCTTATTATATAGAGCAAGTCAGCAAAGGTATAGTTTCAGCAAGAACAAATCAATAATCCAGTGAACTCGTGATTGCGCATGGACTTTGATGTTTTGAACCACTTTGGCTATGGCTGCCTCAGATGAGTCGACAGGGGGAGACGGTGGGTCCCAGAAACCATCTTATCACCAGCAAACTGGTCGGGCCACTATGGGAGTGTACTGCTTGTGGGACTGAGTTTGTTTGTGGCTCATCGGATTGATGAAGTCCTTTGGATGAAGGACGAAACGTCTCAGCAACAAAACAAACAACGTCCAGATGATCTGACTGAACTTTGTTGTATTTTCATGAACCGTTGCTCAAGCAGCAGTCACAACAAAAAAATACTCTCAACCTACAGAAACCTGCCCTGCTCTGGTCAGAGCGAACGTTAAGTCATAGGGATTTTTATTTATCTTACTTCTGCAGCAAAAGTAAGTTAATAAAGTGCAAAACAACAACAACAACAACTCCATCATTTATCTACCTCTAGAGTTGCCAGCTGTGTGCCGCCCATGTCAATCCTGAAGGAGTAGAGGTGCTCGGGGCTGGGGTCGGGCAAAATGTTGCAGCCCTCCAGCGTCACAACTGGCTGGCTCAGTTTGTTCTTCCCCTTTTCTTGGTAGAGCCACAGCTGTCCGTTCTTTATGAGACACCAGCATGGCCGCCACTGGCTGTTCACCAGTATGTTGAGGTATCCTAAAGGAGGATAGGAGGAGAAAATGTTTCTTTTGGTATTTGTATCTTAACCCTGGTAGTTGAACGTGCCAGCATCTCAGATGCATAAACTTTCAGCATAAACTTTGTGTTTGATTTCATTGAGCGAGTAGATTTAAGTTAGTATCTCATTAGACTTGACTGTTGGAGGCCGGAATATCTGCTCATCTTCATGCAGTTTTGAGTCACTGACAGGATTGTAGTCTCAATTAATTCTTTGAGTGTTTCCAACCTGACAAGCCAATTGGCCGCAATTTGAGGGGCCTGTTTTTTTTTTTTTATAAAAAGCCCCAAAACCTGCCTTTTTTATGTTCACATCTTGCAAGACTACCATTCTTGGCTATTGTCGTCAACCTTTGCCTACATTGTCCTGATGCATGCTCAATAATCCAGGTGAACCTAACAAGGTAGAGTCAGGTCCTCTGGACAGATCCTTCTTTCTTGAAATGTTACGTCTTTTATCCAAAAGATCGAACTGTTTCAACAAAGAATCCGTCCAGAGGACCCGACTCTACCTTGTTAGACTTTGTTTACCATATTTTTTGGACTATAAGGCACACTTAAAACCCTTACATTTTCTCAAAAACTGACAGTGTGCCAATCAGGGGCATCTTATGTATTAATTCTGGTTGTGCTTACTGACCTCGAACCAATTTTATATGGTTATTGTGATTGAGTTGAATAAAGTTCGACTTATCTGACTGTTTTGTTTCAGTTAATGCGCCTTATAGTCTGAAAAATCCGGTATATTATTACCACATCGGCTCACTTTGTACCAACTTTGGCAGCTGCTTCTGAATTTATCATTTACTCTGCAAGATTGCACTTTTGAAATGAAGCAGATTTGGAACAGTTTGTTAATAATTATTAATCATAGGTGTGGATTTTAGACCCAGACATTGGTCTTAGATGTTTGTTTGTTTGCTTGTTAATCAGAGGAGAGTTCCTATCCAGGTGTCAAAATACAGAGAAAAGCTTGAGACCTCCGCAACAACTCGGTGACTATTTTGAGAGAAAAATTCTCACCTAAATGTTTTGAACATAGTCCAAACTCAGCAGGACTGCGAGTTTCTGAGAGTGACACAAGAAAATTCCTGCACATTTCAAGACATTCGTGGAGACATGGAGACTCTCTTGCGATCCCCGTTCAACAACTAGTCGCCAACAGTTGCAGCCCGTAGAGAAACCAGCTTTAAGACTTGGTTTTTATCAAAGGCTGCACAGATTGTAACAAAAGGAAAACAATAATTTAATATGCTTTTAAAAATGTTGTCTAGGTTACATTTCAAAGTTCTTGATGCTACATTCAGGAAGAAAAATATTTGGGCATAAATTATTCATGTTACACATTTAATGTAGGCTTAGATCTTCCTGTTAGTAAAAACAATAAAAACCCTCCCAGCAGGTATTTCAAACACCAATATCTGAACGAAGAATTAAATGCACTATAAAGTACTGTATTTTTCAGCCTATAAGTCACTGTTTTTGCATAATTTGCATGCCCTGTGACTTATACGCCGAAGCGATATATTTATGGATTTTTCCCTCATATTTATAAACCATTTTTTGGCTGAGATATGACCGTTTTCTTTCATTCTGACTGAAAATATTGAACACTACAATTTTCAGCCACTAGATGGCACTCGAGTAGTTTGTGCCATGTAATAGGTAAAAAGTGGCTATTAATGACACGATCGACTTGCCATAGACTGTCACCTTTGTCCAGCTCACCTGGAGCAACCGTCAAATCAGCTGCATTTCGCTGTGCCGCCCCGGCGAAATGCAGCTGATTTGACCATTGAAGTGCATTTATTAAATAAAAGTTCAACTGAGACGCACCTTTGCTATAATAACAAGCAAACAAATAATTGTTTTTAGGTGGTTATCTTGTTAAATTTCAAAGAAATGCACAGCGAGTCCTCCCGTGCGCGTGCTTCCTTCCGCATATCGATGTTTGAAATGCAGCTGATTTGACCGTCAAAGTGCATTTATTAAGGAAAAGTTAAACTGAGACACACCTTAACAATAATTTTGAGCAAACAAATAATTGTTTTTAAATGTTAATCTTGTTAAATTCTTGTTAAAATCTTCCGGTGCACGCTCCCACGGCTGCCATTTGGCAGCCAATCGATTTTTGGCACATCGGCCCACATTTCCGGGTTGTCAGCGGTGACACATAATAGATGTGACATATACGGCGAAGCGACATATTTATGGATTTTTCCACTTTATTAGACATATTTGGACTGATGCAACTTATAAGGCGGTGCGACGTGTACGGCGGAAAATACGGTAGTTGTGTCTTTACCTGAGGTGTCAATACTCTTCTCAGGGCTCTCTAATGCTGAGGGTTTTCTCTTGGCGATGTTCATCAGGTTACTGAACATCAAACCTGCACCTGATTTTTTCTTCACTGCAGAATAATAAATAAATAAAAAGATATCAAGATCAAACCACTTTAAGGAAAGAAAGCACATAAAATCCAATTCTCAGAAGCTCACCCACCATCTTTTTCTGTCATTTCAGCATGGCTGTCTGTGCTGCTGCCGCTCTCTGAAGCCACCGAGTGTCTCTCATACAGTTCGCCCTGTGCGTTCATGCAGTCGTTTTAGATTTTTAAAATGCATATTTAAAAATGCATATTGTTAATAAATGTGGAAATACGATTTGATTGACACTTCTGTCTTATAAAAAAGCTTCTCAGGCCTGTTACATGTCTAGCTAAAGTGGATAAGCTTGTAAAAGTACCTTTGTGCAAATAAGCTTTGGTAACTCGGACGCAGGGTGTTGGAGGTCACAGTTTTCAGCTGGCTTGAGACTGATCTCTTGAATAACCTAAAGAACATAAAAGAGATGCATGTATTCTCCAAACTAGCAAGATAACATAACCCTTACAAAACGCTCAGTTTGTTACCTTCAGCCACTGCTCAGCTTGTTCGTTGCTTTGCAGGCCCAGAACAATGGCCTCCCCTCCGACTGGGACGATCTTCAGCTTGTGTTTTTTCCTTGGCTGCTTCTCTTTGTAAGTCACACTGCAGCCCTGCAGACTCACGTCCAGCAGTGGGGTTTGCTCTTTAGAGCTTTTATAGCACTGAGAGAAGCAGAGACAGCAGGCATCAGTGAAGCTGTTTAACATCTGCTGAATCGCACGTGCTTGTGGTGGTACGTAATATCATTCAAGTAAATTTATTCGGATTTAGTTAACAGCCAAATAGTTCACCTTGTCTGTTGATGATTAACTTGTTAAACCACTTTAGTGGCATTAGTTTTTGTAATTATCTTTGTATGTTTTCCATCCTGAGCTGTCAGACGGACTCTTAAACAATTTGTTAAACAGAAGAGATAATGATTAACAATGACTGTAAAGCTCAGACCATCAGCCTCCCACCACCGTGCTTTATAGTTAGAATGTGGTGTCAGTTATACGCATGCTTAGTTAAGTGTTTAATTTGAAAACCACAGTGCTGGTAATCATGGCTAAACGCGAGTGTGAAAATACATAAGCATAAACATGTCTTGTGGGTTGTTTTTTTTTAGATGCGCCTTTGCAAACCTAAAGTGTGCGTCCATTTTCTTTTTAAAGAGGCAACACGTTCTTTGCTCGCCTTTCAGCGCCCCTTTTTGCTCACTCTTTGTCTATTTGTACTTCATAAATTGTGAAGAGATGTAAACTCGGAAATTGAACTTTTGGATCGTGTTGCCTTTTTATTGAGTCTACCCACCAGCAGGCGATAGTCTTTGATGACACAGAGCTGTTTAGCCCACTGGCCAAGCCACTTTTTTCTCCAAAGGAAGGCACATATGCGAGCATCCTTCATCAGCTCAATGGACGCCTCTGCTGATGGCCACTGGTGCTGAGCTGACAATGACTTTTCTCTGGTCACTTCCTCCTCATCATAGGACTCGTATGAACTGCTAACTGCCTCTCCGTCATCTAAAAAAATAATTAAAGAAAGAGAGACAACAATGTCTGGCTGCTTTCTTGACCCTCTTGCATGGATGATTTTCTTAAATTAAAATTCTAAATATCATTGGTTGGTAGTCAAGATACGATCAGTAACATAAATATGAGCTCAGGTAGATCCACTTTACAAGTCTTTTAGCAACATCCTGCAAAATGAGCTTCAGTTGGTTACATTCTCCAAATTTGCCACTAGATACGACTAAAAAACAGACATTGGACTTTTCAAGCTAACTCTTACCATTGACAGTTTCCTCATAGGGTTGGGCCTCCTCATAGTAACTCTCTGAAAAGTCCATACAGGCTGGAACTGGAATTGCAGGCAAGGGGAAGGGTTCTCGACCTGTGGCACCCTGATAAACAAAATAAATCAAGTTAGGTTTTCTAGCCACAGGCTAATTTGCAAATCCAGTTCTTGGTTGGACTTTTATATAAAAAAAATGGCTAAAATAAAATAAAAATTTAATTAAAATTAAAATATAATTAAAATTAAACAGTTTCTTCACACACATGCCTGCTCCTCCATCCCCATGGGGCTCAGTGTTCACAGATTTGGTTTTGTTTCAACCATTTTTTCACCTGGGAATTAAAAACTCTAAGATCTGTTAATGGTTTTATTGCTGATGGTAAACTAATTTAGCAGAAAAAGCAGAAAGAACACATATTTGCTGAATTAGGTTTAAATAAGCACAAAAAATAGAAAATTAGCTAAAAAAAAAAGGCTGAATTTAGCAAAAAATAGCTGAAAAGTAGCTGAAAATGCAAAAAGAAGCTTAAACTACCAACAGAAAGTGGACAGAGCTGAAATGCGCTAAACAATGTGGAACTGGCTTATAAAGCTAAATTTAGCACAAAACAGCTAAATAGTAGCCAAAATACAGTAATAGAAGAAGCTGAGACTTGCAGAAATAAGCTGAAACGAGCATAACAAGCTGAAATTAGCAGAAAGAAGTTAGAAGAAGCACAAAATGTAGTTAGCAGAAAGAATCTGAAAGGAACACAAAATATCTGAAAGTAGCTGAAAAATTGTTTAAATTTGCACAAGGAAGCTGAAAGGAGCTGAACCAGAACAAAATATGAAAGGACCAGTAAAAGGTTGTAAACAAATTTAAAGATTTGAAGGATTTAAATGAGCTCAATTACTTTTTATGAGATTAAAAAGTGGCAGCAAAGGCTAAATATTTCAAAAAGCTAAAGGTGCACCAATACCAAAAGTCATAGATTGCCCTGAATGAGCTGAACGTTTTGATATAGAATTTGTTTGAAATAGCTGAAAAGCTGCGGGACGTGAATCGCACAGAAATATGTATGGAAGAAAAATTGATCACAATAGTGTGAACGCTTCATAAACATTCACACAATTGTAGTTTTTCCATTGCATTCACCATATGTTTTACTTAAGGTGAAAAAATGTGACAGCAGCACTATAATGCATTCAAACACACACACACACACACACACACACACACACACACACATTATTAATGTGTTGTTTTTGCAAACCCGAGTATGTGGTTAATCTAGCTATCACTGGAATAAGTATAAGCAGTTTCCTGTGTAACCAAACCATGTCTGACCCATGTGTCAGAGAGTCAGAGAGCAACATGTTTGCCTTTGGGGGAGAATGTACGAGTAAGCACAGAAAGTGGAGAAGGGAGCATGAACTTTTATGTATTTGTGTGCTTGTGTGTGGCTTTTCCTAAACTCAATCAGCAGTCTGGCTTCACTTCTGTCTTCCTTGTCAAGCCTCTTGTGGTAAAGACTGTCTGTCAAGCACAAAACACTCAACCAAGACATTAAATTAGCTATACAATCCAAAAAATACTTTGGAGACATCTGTTATCTTGAAAAAGTTGTTTTATTTGGCTTTTTCTGGGGACATTGGACCGGGAATCTTGAAGAATTTATATGTTAACGTTATGCTTATATATTTGGGCTTTATTGGTTTATATAAACACATATTTTAAGTTCAACAAATTAATACTTAATTCAGTTAGACCATTTTAAATACTAAAATGGGGACAGTTAAAATTCAGACACAAATAAAGTCTTCACGAGCCAAATACGTCAATGATTTCAGAAAAATACAATAAATACTTTTTTAAATACAGTATATTTATAGATTTTTGTAGTAATTGTGTATATTTTTCTGTATTCACCGTAATTTATTTCAGAAAGCCCAGCTTTTCTAGCATTTATAGTAATTAATTTTAGAAAGCACAGCTTTTCTTACATTTATGATCATTCATCTTGGGCAATGTAGTTTTTACAGCATTCACAGCAATTTATATCAGGCGGCGCAACTTTTAGATTTTTTACAATAATTTATCTCGGGGGCCTCAACTTTTACGGCGTTTACGGAAATTATTCGTAGGCAGCACAGTTTTTACAGCATTTACGGTAATTCATCTGAGGTGGCACAACTTTTACAGAATTTATGGTAATTAATTTACGGTAATTCATCTCAGGCCACTTTTCTAGCATTTACAGTAATCTCTGCATTTTGCCTGTGGTTTCACTCCACTTCTTTCTGCAGAGCGAAGCTGCCAGCCCACATTAAGATACAAGTCTAAAAAAATAATATGGTGAGTGAAGAAAACTAGCATGGCTGTCACAAAAAATACATTTAATACTGATATTCTGGGCCTTCCCCAGAGTAAAATTTCTTTTGGCAGACACTGCTGAATTCTTATTGACGACTGTTGGTGCATCATACAGAAACTAAAGCATTTGAGGAATTTTTGGACAAATTTGGAGTAAGTGTATCTAAGTAACAAAGTGGTAAATATAGTCAAAGTTAATCTGGCATTTCAGTAACCAAAGCTATGCTTGCATTTAAAACCATTCTTTGTGCAACAACCGTGTCAGCTAAGCAGAGTGTGATTTCTCGTTACTTCATGGGTTCATCAAGCCTTTAAAGTTCACTTTCAGACTCCAACTCTATGCCGGTACTCCCCTGCAAGTTGGAATTTTCTTCACTAGAAAACAATGTGGTAGCTTTCTCAACCAAAATTATGATTTCAATAAGAAGATGATAAGCATGCAAGTTAAGTTTCATTTTAAAATATGCAACTCAAAAACCTAAGAAGCTGCCAGTACAGATCATGCAAAGTGATTTGCAATGAAAATTGTATTTAAGAATGGAGGGTGTCTTTGAGGCCAAAAACAAAAATCAAATGACCCTTATGCAATGATATAATGCCAAAGGCATTTAAAATATTTAGTTTGTGTGAAATACAGGCAAAAAAAGATAAATGACCGGATGACACATTGGTTGTCTTAAGAAGCTGAATGCCAAAAAAGTAATTTCTCAACCACTTTCCTCCCAACACTGATCTGAACACATCATTCTTTCATTTTCACCTCTGTTCTTGTAAAAAAAATACTTACAAAAACCAAATACATGGAATATGACTCTTAATTGCCCCTCCCTGGGCTGCCACCTTATCGTGGTGGAGGGGTTTGAATGTCCCAATGGTCCTAGGAGCTATGCTGTCAGGGGCTTCATGTCCCTAGTAGGGTCACCCAAGGCAGACAGGTCCTAGGTGAGGGATCAGACAAAGTGCAGCCCAAAGACCCCTTATGATGAACACAATCAATGGAAACAATGTTCCCTAGCCCGGACGTGGGTCACCAGGGCCCCACTCTGGAGCCGGGCCTGGAGGTGGGGCATGCTGGCGAGCGCCTGGTGGCTGGGCTTTTGCCCAAGGAGCCCGGTCGGGCACAGCCCGAAGAGGGTCCCCCTTCCCATGGGCTCACCACCTGTGGGAGGGGTCAAAGGGGTCGAGTGCAATGTGGGATGGGTGGTGGCCGAGGGCAGGGACCCTGGCGGTCTGATCCTCAGCTACAGAAGCTGGCTATTGGGACGTGAAATGTCACTTCTCTGCTGGGGAAGGAGCCTGAGCTGGTGTGTGAGGTTGAGAGGTTCTGGCTGAAGTTCTATTTGTCTCATTGTATAAAAATCTGAAGTTTGTTTTTTTTCTGATGTGGGTCATCAGACTCAGTCCCCTTTAAATCCCAAATAATCAGAAAAATCTTTGCTTGGGTGCTTTTCCCACATTATCATGTTAGCAATCAAACACATTTCCTGTAATGCACAGCAGATGCAGTAAGCTGTCTTGATAAGTGGCGTCATGTCACAGTCGGCGCACAGTCTCAGTGTCGGAGACGTGTGTGATTAGCCTTCATGCCAGAACTTGTAGGAAAGCGTCAACAGACAGGCAGAAATGCTATCATGACACAGAAGAAGAAGGAGCATCGGTTATGTATTATATGCAAAATGTTTGTTCAGAGTGCAAATATCAGCAATTTCAGACAACATAATTAAACAAATCTGAGTTAGAGGGTTTTTTCCCTTTGTTTTTTTGGTACATGATGCAACTGTTACGCCACATCAGCAAAAAATGTTATGGAAACTGGAAAAATTGTACAATTTTGAGTGAAAACTTCAAATCAACAGGAGCTGATTATGATGACAGCTCATCCATCCATCAAACCATCTGTCCATCCATCTATTCGTCCATCCATTCATCCATACATCCTTCCATTTGTCCTTCTGTCCATCCATCCATCATCCATCCATCTGTCCTTCTGTCTGTCCATCTGTCTGTCCATCTGTCCATCCATTCGCCCATCCATCCATCCATCTCTCCATCCATCCATCCTTCCACTTGTTCTTCATCCATCATCCATCCATCCATTCATCCATTTGTCCTTCCGTCTGTCTGTCCATCCATCCATCCATCCATCCATCCTTCCATCCAATCCGCCATCCATCCATTCTTCCATCTGCCCATCCATCCATCCTTCTGTCTGTCCGTCCATCCATCTATCCACCATCCAACCAACCAACCATCCATCCATCCTTCCATCTGCTGTCTGCTCACAGACTCATGTTCATGTTTGTGGTGATGTTCAATGTTTTATGTTATGAGTGCTTAGTGTATATTTAGTTGATGTTTTTCTTAGTTCATATCTTAGATGTTATTACTGTTTTTCTTATACATTTTATTGTTGGATGTAGCTGGGACCCTGCGTACATAATTTCGCTCCACCACATGTACCACATGAGGTGCGAATGACAATAAAGAAACTCTGACTCTCTGACTCTGATCTGTCCATCCATCCATCCATACATACATACATTCATCCGTCCATCTGTTCATCCATCCATCCACCATCCATCCAACCTCTATGGATGGTAATTCATCCTCCATGGATGGACCTCTTCCAGTTCATCTGGGGGTAGTCTGCGATGTGTAATGCAGCTCACTTCCTAGGTCAGCCCTGAGGTTTGCTCCCAGTGGGATACGTTTGAAAAACTTCCTTAGTAAAACATCTGTGAGTCCAAACC